CTGATCTCCTGCAGCCTCTTCCTCACAAGGGTAGTTCACCAACTGTTCCATCTCAGGCAGCGGGGAAGCAAACAGCTGGACAAGGGATTTTTGCCTTTTTGTTACAAATGTCCTGTGACCTGGCACAAAATAAAGGACACACTGATCACCGTCTTCAAGGCCTGAAAGAATTTAATGCTAACTGAAGTTAATTCTGGACTCCTTGTTTAGACACAGAGGATGAAGGAAGAGACAGAGTGAGAGCGCCAGGGGAGCAACTGATTTCCCGTCATTTCATTTCATTATTACCAGAATCAAATAAGCAAAAAACTCACGCATCAGGCTTTTATAATCATGAGAGCTGAAAATGAATGAATACATTGGATTACTTTGTACTGACCTGACTTCAGAGCCTTTACAGTCATAGAATTTCAGACTTTTTGGAGACTATTGATGTCAGAACTTGCCTTTGACTCATGCAAGTAGGAAAAATAACCTCACCTAATCATAGGACTCTATATCTGGGTCTTTAAGCAAAATGTCCACCCAGTTCAATGCTACTCTCATCACTGTCTCCCGAGGTTAGAAAATGAATTACCATTAAGTTGGAGGTCAGAATTAGACACAGAAGAGCCAAGGTAAGATCCAGATGCAGACAGTGGTAGTTTTGGTGCTGGGACTTAAAATGGACTTCACAGCACATGTCACCACAGTTCTATGCTTTAATTTCCCCCTGATTCTGACTCAAATTATTTTATGAAGTCTGCTGTGTGGAAATAGAGGGTGCCTTCGCTAATCTTGCTTGATCACAAGACGCTGTAGCCTACAGATGTGGTTAACTCAAGAGGGTGGCTGTGAAGGTCCCAGATCAAAGACTTGCTGCTGAAGCAGGTGATGAGCCAGTTAAATTCGGGATACATCCATGGTTTTGACTATGTAGCAGCAGAGTGGTCTCCTCTCATTTTCTGTGTTGAAGCCCAGCCAGTCTCTTACCAGCGTGATACAATCCAGCAGCATCTAATCGGCTGCTGCCACCCTCGGCCTTCCCCCACCCTCAGCACTGGCGGATATGTCAAAGCAAAAACATCTCAGCATTTCTGATCTCCCTGGGGTCACATCTGGTTTGAGTAAGGCTCCTCATTTGGTTCCAATCCACTGATTTCCTGCTACTGTCCATGAAAAAGAGAGTGCGACTCTGTGGCTTCCCCTGGGTGTAATGGTCTAATCTGTACCTTGTTGTGCACTGTAGAGGGGAGGGGGAATCAGTGCTACTTGGGAGCAGATTCCTCTTCCCCTGTGATTGCATCCCGCTCTTATGCAAAGCACCTTTATTCTTGCCAGCAGTGGCAGCCCCAGATGTCCTGGTGCCCTCCCTGTATTATCATCCATGTTCCTCTGGCCTCCTAATTGAATCCTTTCCTGGCCGGGACAGGTTTTCCTCATTATGACGAACTGGATCCAATTCTACTCCCACCCCTCCATCTCCCAGTGTCTCCTTGTGAACACAGGGCAGGCCCCACAGAGCTTCTGTGGGTGGATGACTGCCCCAGTGAACCGTTCCTGCAGCTACTGGAATGTTGCTCATGATGTTAACAGAGCAGGAAAGCCCCAGATAGGTACAAGGTGGTAAAGGCATCTTCTCTGCCAAGATTCTGGCAGCATCAAGATGCAGTTTAGTTCTGAGAAATAATATCTATTTGTTTTAATCTATAGCTTTCAGAGCCATTTATCTAAAACATCATTGTTTTGCAGCTGGTGAAGCAGCCTAAGAGTTCTCACAAGAGCAGTGGCAAAGCCCAGGAGTTGATTTGGTCTCTTGCATCCTCATTCCATAGGATCCTCTCCATAGGAGGGCAGTATCCATGATTAATGTTTCACTCATGCACTGAACAAGGAAGGGCAATATAAACAGAACAAATTATCTTTTTTTCACTCTCACTTATCCACTGAAAATCTCATACTGGGGGAAAAAAGTTCAGTCCCATCACCTTATTTATCCTTCTTCCCCTTAATCCAAGCTAGACTATCTTATGCTGCACCACATGAAACAGAGACACGGGTTTTCTTTGCATGCCCTCATTCTGGGAGCAGGAGCAATGCCCCAGTGTTACCACACTGAAGGTGACTCTGTTGTGCATTAAGTGGTATTAGGTCAGGCACAGCATCACTTTATACGTTGGGTTTGGTACTTAAACTGGTTTGTACAGAGCTGGGTAACTTATTATACAGATGGCATCAGCGTGTGCAGGGACAGCCAGGCCTGTGTCCAGGCAAGTAAAGTCAGGGAAACTGAGGCACAAACTCATTTGGTGCATTGACTTCAAGGCAAGTTCTCAAGAGCACTGGGAGGAGACTCAGCACTGCAAATTCCCCCAAATTCCCCAAGTGCCATCACTTTAACTACTAACTCACATTCTTCTACTGCACTAAGTGCATCTGGATTTCATCAGAGCCTGGATATTATTTTTAAAAATAGCCAAATCTTTGGAAAACAAAACCCCTCAAAACACCAGAACAAAACCTCTGATCTAGAGTCTTTTCAGCATCTTAGGGAACGAGAGATGCTATTATTGTTACTAGAAAGGCTCTAAAGGCAACAGTACAAGGAATGATCTATAGGGCACGAGTATGTTTGTTATGAAATAATTTGGATCCACAGAGGAATTCCATATGTGGCTTCCCCTCTGGTGACTAGAGGTTCCCACCTTGGCAGAGATCCTGGAGTCCCATGCCTACAGGCTCAGCAGCATGGAAGGGGAGGGTGGACGCTGGAGGAGTAATGGGATCATCAGGCGCTGAGGCTGCTGCTTGGCACGCCGACAATGTTTGTTTGCACCTCTTTGAAGATGAGAGATGAAAGTGGCGCCCACATGGGCTGCCTTTGATTAGCTTCTTATTTTTAACATTGCAGCTGCGATTATTTTTCTTTTTCTTGAAGCATTTCTTCCCCAGCACCAGAAACTCTGAGGTTCCCTTCTCTAGGGAGGTTCAACTTCAAGGAAACATAACAAAGAGAAGTGTGAATGTAAAGGAGACTGGACAACTCCGGGCCAGTAGGGAATTATGTCATTTTATTTTTAATTTTACTTCCATTTTTTTCCCCAATCCCCCATCCTCAGTGGGTCTCCGAAAGAAAATACTTGTTTACTTCTTTTTTAATAGGGAAAATAAATGAGTCCTGGGATTGTACAGAGCTGTCATGAAGAGGGAAATGTCTAATGGTTCAATTCCCAGCTCTGTCACTGAACCACTCTGGGACTTGGGGAAAAGTCAGTTCGCCCATCTGTAAAATGGGATTTATAATGCGTTGCTTCTCAGGGGTATTGAAGGAGTACAAGTAGCATTGATGGAATGCTTCGTGCACCTTGGATAGAAGGGGCAAGAGCCCTGTGAAGTGCTGTCCTTAATAGATACTTAGAGGAGTTTCCTTCACTGTGGTACTTATCTGACCACAGCAGCCGAGTGCCTCACAGCTGCTGATGGATTTTTTTTCTATTACCTCCCTGCACTGTAGGATTGCCGCAGAGGAAAGCAAGGCAAATGGCAAATTGAATGGAATGGACCCAGTCACATAGAGAGTATGTGGTAAAGTCAGGACTAATTCTTTATTTCCTAAATTTCTGCCACATCCATTAGACTTTCCTCCGAGTTGTACAAATTCTGTGAGCTGAAGGCACGAGGGAAAGCTGCCTTCCCTTCCTTCTACACTGGGCAGTGACACTGTTGGTGTCTTCCTGCTGGATGAGGGACAAGTGGTCTGGAAAGGGGGTCACTGTTTGTTGTCATCATTCTATTTCCTATCATAATATTTTGGGGGTTGTTTCTGTCCCCTGCTAGAGCAGTTTTCAGACAAGAATTTGGCCAGGTGTTAATCCAGTTACCCATAGTGAATGTCCTAGCTTTAACAGGATGATGACAGAAAAAAAGCTTAGCCTGCTGTTCCCTGTTTTCAGGACCAATTTACAGAGGTGATAAAGAGCCAGATATACAAGTGATATCAGAGGAAACTGCTGGTAATTGGTACTTCCAAAAAAGAGCTTCACAAAGCTCTGCTGCTTGTATCAGCTCAAGTTTAACTTCTGCCGGAGTGCCTTAAAAAATGCTAGGCAGAGCCTGATAGCAACAATGTCAATTAACAAGATGTAAAAATCTGGAGTGGAGATAAGAGGAACACCCAAGGACAAATAACAATCAAGCTCTCGATACTCATGCACTTCAAAAGACAAAACACAACTACGTATGTTTATGTTGATTTCTTCGGGCTATCTATCAAGACATTTACCAGCCAAAGAGAAATGGGGGCACATGAGTTGAGTAAAAACTTGTAGCATGCTTACACAAATCCAGCCAACTCTGGTTCCACCAAATAAAATACCTGCTAAATCCTCTAAAAGACACCTCAGCCTTGGCACAGACAGTCCAAAAAGCACATAATTTACACAGCTTTCCTTGTTTTTATGGCATTTCTGCTGCTCCCAGGAGAGGCAGATAGTTGCTCCAGCCAAGTACACCATCCAGATAATCCCAATGCCCAGACGTGGTCCTGCTCAACCCAGCTCCTCATGAGCAAATAAGCCAGTCTTATAGGCTCTTCTCAGGGATATTATGAAGTGATATATTGTGCAGGATAGCTTATAAAGTATACTTATTTCAAATTCACTCCAACCCCACTCCATCCAGTCACATAGACTCCAGGACACTAAATTAACCCCCTGCCAAATTTACTGCAAGCCATCTGACCATACCATTTAGCCACAGTAAAGACAAAATCTATACCTAGCTACAGTCAGGAAAGCAGGCAACTCTGTGGAAAACCTATTTATATCCCTCAAGGAGATCAATGCAGAGCCCAGGCCTGGAGGCCAGTGACCTTGGATTGACACAAAACTTAAAGGGAAAAAATTAATGGTGTCAACTCAAGAGACCATAGCTGTTATTCCAGAGGATTCAAAAGCCAGCCCTGCAGCTTACTGACCAAGAAAAGGTGCTTAAATAGGGATGGAAATAGAGCAAATACTCACCCATTGCTGGTGCAGGAGCAGAGACACAGAGCTGCTCTCCCAGGGCTCCTGGAATGGTTGCCAGTGCCACACAGTCCTTGGTAGCAGCCAAATATCTCCCAGATGTCACCAGTGCAGTGTGACACCAGCAGTGGTGTCTCTGGAAGAAGTTTCTCCTCAGGTTGTCCCAAAGTGATGCTGTGGTGGGCTTCCCATGGGCTGCCTCCTGAAGGTGTTCCCTCAGGGGTCTCCTGCCAGGGAATGGCGGACACCTGTGAGGCGGGGGCAGGGGGTGAGGCACCTGCTGTCTGAAGGGGCTGGAGGCCACACACGCTGATAAGATGAATTTTTAGGCCTCAGATTCCTCAGTTCTGCCTCAGCTCTTCCTTTGCTGCCTGAGCCTTTCCTCAGGTGCCTCAGCTCCTCCTCAGCCACCCCAGCTCTTCCTCAGTTCTTCCTCAGCCGCCTCAGGTCACCTTCAACTGCCCCAGGTCCCCTTCAGGTTTTCCTCAACCGCCTCAGCTCGTCCTCAACTGCCTCAGCTCCTCCTCAGCCACCCCAGCTCTTCCTCAGTTCTTCCTCAGCCGCCTCAGGTCACCTTCAACTGCCCCAGGTCCCCTTCAGGTTTTCCTCAACCGCCTCAGCTCGTCCTCAACTGCCCCAGCCCAGAGCAGCAACAACCCCTGAGGGGCCACTCAGGGTGCTCCAACAGTCACAAAATGGTGGCCCCGGTGCCCAGTACTGAGGTACCAGCACAGTTCTGTGTAGATGACACAGCCAGATGCTGCTGCACAGAGCAGGAGAAAAGGCAGCCATGGCAGGAGACCGACACCTGCTCCTGCTGAGGCACCGGTGGCTGCTCGGACTGGCAAAAATGGCAGGAAATGGCGGGAAACAGCGGCTGCCTCAGCGGCCCCTCAACCAGCCTCAGCCTCCCCCAGACACAGGCCCTGAGGCAGCCCTGACCCAACAACCACAGCACTGACTGCTGGAAACCTTCTCTCCAGTGCAAACTCCATCCATACCCCCAAAACACTACCAGGAAGGGCTTTTAGGGGCAGGAAAAAAAAGTCCCCACCCTGTCACAGCTGACCTCAATTTAGAGGGTCCAGCTGAAAACGAGACCTGCCTCACCTGGCACGGTTGTGAGGTAAATCCTGGAGAAAGCTAAGAGATTTCTGATTCTGTTTCATTATTTGTTTTTAAATTAAAATGGTAAAAGTTAGACCCTTGAAAGAGAAAATTACAGGGACAGGGATGTTCCATGGAAGTTGTGCAGAATCAGGTTTTATTTTTGGAGTAGCCACTGGCTGCTGGTGCAGTGTTGGACACCTTAATGTGCATCTGCTGCCCTTAACACCTCTTGCTTTGTTTTAATTCAACCATTTTTAGGCAAGAATAAATTTTTGGGTGTACAGGTCTGTGCACAGGAGGGCTGTGCTCTGTAATGTGGCCATGTGGGTTACTGGGGCGCAAGTCATAGCAATGCTGGCCATGCTCTGATCTTCAACTTTCTTGGGGACTTTTTGTAAAATTATTATTATTTTTATAACTTTTTGCACTGGGTGACAGAGCCAGGAGGCTGATCCCCCAGCCGGGGACCAGTAGTTCCCATTTGATGTCCAACACCGACCCCGTCAGCTCTCACAGAGGAGCTGGCTGCCACATTGTGGCCTGTTCCCCCAAACGTCACATCTGGCTGATGTAAAACACACATGTTTTGACTGAAGCTTTTTCTTTAAAATGCCAACATTAAAGGAAGGTTCGCTTTGTAAAACTGAAACTGTAAAACTCTTCTGAAACCCAATCTGGGGGATTAAAAGAACCACATGAAAAGGGATAAATATGACCTGGACATTTACTTCCTGTGCAGAAGTTCGCTGAACATGTGCCTCCCAGCCTGTCAGTGCGAAACAAGACCTTCTGCTCTGATTTCCAGAAGGGGAAAAAAAAAAAAGAGGAGAAGAAGAGAGGAAGACAGGAAATTTTGTAAACTGACAACTCTTTTCTACTTCATGGCTCATGCCAGAGACATTGGTTTCTTTACAGTGCCACCTCATACACCTTAAAACCAGAAAGATGCACAACTAGTAATTAGAAATTTAGTATTAACAAATTATTCTTATTCATACTATATAGCAAAATTGGTCTTGATCCATTTTTAACTGAGAGTTAGTGACAGAACTCCTTTGGGTTTCAGTGGGAATAAGGTCAGACCTACAGATACGATGGACTGAGTCCAAGGATTCTCTGATGATGTGCAGAAGAAACACATGGATAGACAAACAGATCTTCAGTTAGTCAGAAAATGGCTCACTTTCAAACAAACTAATGCAAGATGTTTATATCAGTATTGTCCATTTCAAGTATTAAAAGTTACAGTTAGGTTCCAAAAGCAACTTTACTTAAATATTATCAGACTTGAAAGGGAAAAAAAAATCAATTATAGATTCTCTGTATTTCTTTCCTAAGTTTTGAGTCTTTAAGAAGATATCACATTTTTTTCTGTTTTTCTTTACTAAATACTGAACTGGCAGAAGCTTGATTTTTTTTTAAACCAAAACTGACACTGTGATTTATTATAGTATGATTTCAGAAGACAAGACTTGGAGAAAAAAAACATATAAAAGCAGGCAATACATTAAAGTCATTACTGTTCTCAAAATAACTTTCTGATCTCAGGTCCCAGTGCACGAATTGCAGAGGACAAAATGCAATATAATGTAAAATTTGGCACTGCCATGCAGTTTGGGCAAAAAAAAAAAAGTCCTTTTATCCCAGTCAAGTTCCCTAGAAGCCAGTTACACACTAATTTGGGATTATATTTCCCACTCATGGATGATGATGTTAAATTACATTGAAAGTGGCGTTAGTTGCCCAACAGATAATTTGAAGAAACACAACTTAAATACATAGAGAAAACAAATATATAGAGAAGACAGCACTTTATCTAAAGACAGACTTCCAATAGAAAACGTTGGACTCTGCACATGGAATGTCGTGGGGCACCTTCCTGCACCACTGGGTTGTAACTGCTGGGACAGCTCACCCTGTGGATGCACACACAGGATCCTGGTTGGACCTGAGCTGGAAATATTCTGTAGTTCTGGGTGCTTGAAACTGGAGCTTGTCAGTTCAGCCCCACTATTGTCTGATTTCTTTGGTGGTTTATTTTATTTGTTTGGGTTTTTTTAGCTTTAGAGTGATTGAGTCTGTACTGGTGTTCTTGGATAATACTCTGTCCCCTGTGTGAGACACAGACACTCCATAACCCCACACCAAAGTACATTTTCTCCCAAATATTCTCTCATCTTCACTGGGTTTGATCTTTGAGATGGAAAGTTCATCTATTCTACTTGCAGCCTTGGTTTTCTAATTCCACTGAAGCCTTTCACATCATCTGCTACTGTATAGAGCTGGCAAAACAATCTTCTTTCTTTCTGCCTAATCCTGACCCAATTTTAAAAAAAACCCAACAAAAAACCAAAAACACCAACAACTTTTATAGTTTCAAGCCAGAACCAAGCAAAACAAAAGTGTGTTTCAAAGTCAGTGTTCAATGGAGAAAAACCCAGTTCCCAAGTCCTTTCCAAATCCAAAGTGGACAGTTCCTCAGTCACTTCCAAGCCGGAAAGAGGCCATTTTATGAGCCAGAAAGCATCCATTTTCTGCGTCAGTCCTGAGCCAGAGAGGCTACTGCCTGAGTCAGTTCCAGGGGGGGAATGCCTGGCACTTTTCCAAGCTTGGGAGTGTTGCTATCACAGCAATTGTTTGGTGATGCCACCCCAATAAAGCTTCATTATGGTGTTCCTCTTTCTATAAACTTCAGTGCCCTCCAGTGTCCCCAGCAATCACTTATCTAATATTAGGATATTAAAAAATATGGAAAGATTTTAAAGAGACTTATTAAAATGCAATTAGCAGCGTGTACGACTTAAGCAGTGAGATTATTTAAAAAAACGACTTGATTGTGTGGAATGCCACGCACCTTACAGAGATAATAAAGCTGCCAATCAAGTCCATTTTCAAATTAGGAAATTTTCATTCTTTTTTTACAGCCCCCTAAGTGAATATTAAAACTGATTATTAACCTCGGAGTGCAGCAGCAGCCCCCGAGCTCTGAATGGGAGGTTTCATAACCGTGGGTAGCCTGGGCTCCAGTCCCCGCTTGGGCTGAGATCTCGGCGCTTATTTAAAGGGACAGCGCTCGCCCTTTGAATGAGGAAACCTGGGAAGCCTGGATGGGTCCCTTGTTTGGAAAGGGGCAAAGCTCCAGAGCTTGGGAAGTTGGGAGGCCAAAGCGAGCTGCCTGCAGTGGCCCTGCCGCGGTGTTTTAGAGCCGTGACAATCCGCAGGTAAGGCTGCCCCCGCACGTCCGATCCCAGCATCTCCACCACCCCTCAGCTCCCGGCGCTCAACCTGCCTTTTGTCCAAGGGAAAATGTGCACATTAAATAAATGTTTCTGTGGGAACACACACCTTTGTCATACCCGGGTTGCTGTGCATAGATTCTCAGTGGATGTTATTATTCTATGTTATTACTTCCCTTGCTAAATGTAAAACCCTGTCGTTTACCTTGCCTTCTTTTTATTTAATTTCTGTCCTACTGAGAGACAATCAAGTGTGACACTTCCTGCTATTTGACTTTGCTGGCATTTTTATTTCATTTATAAAAATGGATCTTTCTCTGAGAAATTAAGTCACATTACCTTGACAGGTTACTCCTTTTGCAGCTCTTTACTCCACTGTCAAAGGAGATTTATTGATGCTTCCTGGATTTCTCTCTTCAAGCTTGCAAACTGGAAATGATGAATTCTCTGGAAGGCAGCAAGCTAATTCTTGACTTGAATGCTTTATTTTGGGATAAATGCAAAGATTCAAAGGGACTATCTTAGTAGGGGGTAGCCAGAGATTCCAACTCCAAAGCAGGAGTATATTTTAGGATGTGCTCAACCTTAGTATATGTCTAATTTTACCTTTGCTGATCTCTTTGGGAACACACACACAGCCCTGAAGGTATGGACTTGGGCACTTCACCATGCTGGTGCCAGGCTGCTTTGCAGGAAGGAGAGTCCAGACAAAATCTAAACAGGGAGAATGTCACTGAGTTTGGAAGCATCTAGAAGTTATTTTACCAGCACATGTCTCTCATGACTGTAACTCCCTCTGGAATCTAGCTGTGGCACCTGGATCTACTTAGGATTCGCATGGAAGCTATCTGCACATCTTTTCAAAGTAAATAATCTGCCTGGGTTGGATAATGGGGGTTAGGAGGATGACAAATTGGGTTAATAAAATGTCAGCAAGAGCCAGGTTTTTAAGTCTGGAATGAGTCACAAGTGAAACAAGTTTAGTGGCCAGGGTTCACCCTTGATCTTGAATTGTTATTTGTCTACATCACTGAGTAAGCAGGGACCCAGTGTAATTCAGCATAACTGACAACCCAGCATGGGCAATATTCTTGGGGGGTGGGGGGAGAAAGGTGTTACTGCCTCGTTAGTCATGGCAGTTAATGAGAAGCACTGAAGAAACAGTAACCACAGAGGTGGAATTAGACTTCCAGGTGTCTGGGCTGAAAAGCAGCACCCCCAGCACACCCCAAATCTTGTGCTGCTCCTGAAGCCCTCAAAGTGCCTCTTTTCCGCTCCCCAGTGTTTTCATGGCTCATCCTTTAACTGGTTTGGGTGGGGAATGTATGGAGTGGTTTATATCAGGATGAACTGAATGTCCACGATCCTTTGGGAGGTTAGAGGGGAAAGCAGTGCAGTCAGTACTGAGGTACATCAGAGAGGACACGTGGGGGCTCGGGGAGCTGCACTGCAGCTGGGTTAGTAAAAGTGCAGAAAACAGTTCCGAAAGGAACTGTTGGTTGTGGGGGTTTTTGGTTTATTTTTCCTATTTCCATAAACAACTACTCACTGCTAAGCAAATTTTATGATGATTGGAACCACGCTGGCAATGACAAAGAGAATTAAAGAGATGTAATGGACATATAATCTTTGGGTCCGTGAGACACTAAATGTATGGTAATGTCAGCACAGTAAATAACTCCGTTATTAACATATGCTAAAATTAGATCAAGCAAAACAAGCATTCACTAATACTGAGACAATTCCTGGCAGAGAAGAGAGATTACTGAAAAGGTTTGAGTAAGTGCTGCGAATGGGTGATTGCCAGGCTGGAAAGCAAACTTCCAAAAGCATGAAGACTTTGTCCCAGAAGCTGCCTTGCATTCCTTGATTAGGATCAGCTTCAAGAAAAGCCTCACCGTGGGTGCTGGCAGAACCAGACATGAAAAGAACAAGCTCTACCTAATGCCAAATCTTCCAGCTGCAGCTTTGACAGCAGGAATTGCCCTGCAAGTCTGTGCTGCAGAAACTCAACACAGAGTTACACAAATGGTAAAGCAGCAGGAAGTCTGATACCCAGCAATTCAAATAAATTAGAGCAACCAATTGAAAATACAACTGTGTGTTATTTGTAGCAGCTTACTGAGCAAGGTAAGTTTTGATCCAGACATTCCTGAGCATGGAAGTGAATAATTAGGTGACACAGTCAGAGCTTCTATGTTTCTTCTCCTAAAAATAGACATGGAAGATCTGAAACAGCAAAAGGGGAGAGGGAGAATATTGAAAGCACCCCTTCAGTAGAAAAGAGCAGTTCCAAATCCTGGGATCTTGCCACCCCCCTGAGCTTTCCTCACCCAGCCATGTGTGCTGCAGGATGTCTGGCTGCTCCAGGCTCCCCGGCTGCCTCTCACAGTCCCTCCAGGTGTCAGCCTTGCACTTTGCATAACGTTTTCTTCCCTCAGCCACATCTGGAATGAAGTGTTGGGTTCACTGGAGATTCCTGACAAGAAAGCATCAGAGATCTTAAAATATTAAAACGCATTCCCTAATTTCATTTCAGGACAAAATGCTGAATTATCACAGCCAGGCCTCCCTCAAAACAGTCAAGCTGATGCCGTGGTGTGTGGGAGGGGGTCTAAGTGGGCCCATTAACTCCCTGCAGGATCTGCCAAGAGGACTGTGAACATTTGCCAGCCCAGAAACAGTTCAGGAGCCAGGACTTCCACTTGAGTCTTCTTTTTTTAGGATGTAATTGCCATGACTGTCCTTTCCTTGGCCTTAATCCCTAGCTGCTTCCCAAGATACTAAAAGCTTTTGCTCTCCTCTGCACTCTTGCACATAAATCAGAACCACACTGAGATTTTCTCACTGGATCTCGTTGTGGCAGAGCCCCTGGAAGCTTGAATGAAGGCAAGGACATGCAGGCCCACCACATCATCTGCCCCTGCTCTGACTCCAGGGTTAAATTGCTGGCAGTGCTGGTGTTTGGTTTAGCACAAGCACTGTGGGAAAGGCAGCAAAGAGAGAGAAATGGGCCTTGTCAGCCACACTTGCAGCGATAGGATCGCACAGATAGCCCAGATGTCAGCAGGAAGATTCCCCTTAGGATGCTGCTGTAATTTATGATATTGCTCAGAATTGCTACAATTCTTCAGGCAGGTCAGATTTGGGATGTATTCTTAAAACCACATGCATGAGCAATAATGCATGAAACTGTGAAAACAGAGCAGGAAGGGGGTTGTGTGAAGGCTGAGTTATGTGGTGTGGTAGGTTTGCAAAAATGTGATGTTTGGTTCAGGCTGAACTGTCTCTCAGTGTCATGAGTAGAAATCAGAGGCTCGGCAGAGTCTCAGTCCTGCAGGTTTTGAGATGACATCAGTGAATGAGAAACTGCACTGAGGTCAGGGGTTTAATTCTTGTAGTGTAGCCACAAAAGAGCTGTTCAGTGGCAACAATTTTCAGTAACTACCGGGCTGGGAAGGCTTCAAATATAGGCTGTGATGGGTCCAAAGGTCTGTATCCATTAACTGTCACAGGACAACTGGCAAACACAATAATGAAGGCAGTTTCCACAAGGTCTTCCAAAAAGTCTGGGTGTTTCAAGATTTTTATGGCTGTTAGGAGCAAGTCTGTCATGAAAACACAGTTCTGGGTGTCAGGTGCCACCAGTTCTTCACTGTGGACTTTCAGAATGACCTTGGGGAGCCTGGCTTACCCCAATACCTCAGTTTTCCAAGTGGTTGCCTGCAACATTAACTGGCCAGAGTTTGATTAATTAATTGCATTATAAATGTAAGGGCACTAAAAAGACATGAAAAAATTCAGAAAGAGAAAGATAGAAGTCGATCACCTCTGGCAGTTTCAAGTGCACAAAAAGTCCATTTGGTCACATTTGGGTGATCAGTAGCTCTCACCACTCTCATCAAGGATGACTTTCAGTTCTACGAGCATTAGTTCTCCCCTTTCCACAGCTGTCAACTATTCCTCATGTAAAGGTCTTGCTCCTCTTTCAAAATTACCTGTATTAAGGCAAATTATGTGTTCCCTTCCTTTCCCTGTTGAAAGTCATTTACATGAAGAATCACAGAACCGAGATTATAGATACTGGGGGAGGGAATGCAGAAATATAGCTAAGACTGGAAATTTGGGTGGGCCTCAATTTATGGTGGACAGCCAAAGAACAAAGGTCTGATGTCATAGTAAATCATTTATATTGCAAATGATTTAAAATAATGAAAACCCATATGCATTAAATTTTGCCCTGTACATCCATTTGACATATTTTAAGTAGACAAAAGATAGATTTTACATAAATCTTCAGTAAATGTACTTCGAAAAAATATCACCAGGCAGTAAAGCCTAACTGTTTTAAAAACAGTCTTTGTCCTATACTTGAGCTCCTGCTTCAGTGGGCATCATTCAAAACCAGCAAAACACTACTCAGACTGTCTCCCCTGTCCTTGAGAGAAAATAAAGAAAACAGAGAAGGAAAACTAGACTAAACAGCTTTTGAACAGATCCTGCCAAAGTTGTCCTTCACACTCTTCCAGGTGTTACAGGAATAGTTGCTACACCTTACCCAAGCCACCTGTGGCTTTGCCTCTGAAGGAGTCTATTTCCATCCCCTCATATAAATTCTAAAGTTTGTATTCAATATTTAGGGTCTGTCACACACCAACACGTGCAATTTTATAGACCAGTTCCCAGTCTGTGGATTTTAACCTTTGGCTTATGCCAGTCTGTGCTGATGGAAGCTCATGCTCTTCCACAATGGGGGTTACTACACCATCTAGAAAAAAAAAAAAAAAAAAAAGAAAATCTCTGAATCCCAATGCACTGGAAGAGGCATCAAATTCCTTTGGAAGATGCCTGGCACATCTTCACCAGGAACTGAGCTCTGGGAATGGACTCGATACCTCTGAGAATCACAGGCAGAAATCCTTCCCAGGCTCTGCTGCTGGATGCTCCAGAAAGGCAAGGGAGCCGACTCGCAGATGGGTTGATCTGACTCTGCCAAACAAAACAGAGCGAAGGGAATTTTGCATTCCCTGCATACAAGATGCAAACGTTTGACAGTTCCCACAGGTACCACTCAAAGCAGAGGGTGGAGCCGGCAGATAACCCCCACTGCTGTGCTTTGAACCCTCTCACAGCTCGCAAACAAAGGGAGGAAGGAGCACCTCACTGCCAGCAGGGGCTTCGGAGCTCAGAGAGGCCGACTGGCACCGTTTGGGTCTCCAGTCACCACCGAACATTTCTAGCTCCTCCCAGAGCTCTCTCGCAGGCTGATCCTTTGTGTGTGGAACTGGGTTTAGTAAGGAGCAGCCAGGACACCTCCAGCCCTGGATGGCTGATCCCAGATGTTTCAGTGACATGCACTTTAATCAGCCTCACCTAACACTAGGGCTCTCAGGACCCAGACCGGTGGCCACTGGGTCCTTTCAGGTCTTTACAAGAGCCAAACTTGTAAAAATCTGATTTTCATCGTGTCTGCTGAGAGATTAAAACACACATCACCTGTTCTAATCAGTTTTAGAAAAGTCGAGTAAACAAGGATACGAAGCAGAAGGAATGTGGAAACCCTGCTCCTTTAACAGGGTTGAAAATGAGATAGTTGGAATCATGGCTTTATAGGATCATGGGAAAATTGCCTAAAATATTTTAGGTGCTATAATGAAGTCTTAGGTGCTGCTTTAACTAAGGAGATTAGGAGGGGTGTGAGAACTAAATGATATTTCCAGGTACTTCTGTGTGGGTGGAAGCTTCTTATTTTGTTTAAGTGAAGCTTTTCTCTGGTGGTTGTTTATAGACTGCTTGCTATTGGTAAATTTTTATGTTGGTAACTTGCTGGTGAATGGAAAGCTCTATTTATGGTAGGTATTTCTGGAGAAATTGTTCTTCCTCCTTATATTCCTGCTTTATTCTGAGAAACTTGATGTTGGGGGGGGGGGAAATACTTCCACTGAGTAAGGGAGAAAGGTCAGAATTATTAACTATTGACAAAATCAGAAAATCAGGCTGGATTCTGACTACACTGACAGGCCATTATTCATTAAATTCTCCTGCTTTTTACATGGTCAGGAATAGTCTCAGCCACTTCATGTTTTTCAGTACCCATGGTTGTGTGATGCTTTTTTTTTTATCAGGAGCTTATATTTAGTTGCCCACTGCTGCTGTTTTTCATCCCAAGTGCTTTTGGGAGGGTGAACAGCTGATCATTACACCGAGTTTGCTTGCACCCCTGAGCACAGTTAACCTAGAGCAGCAAATAGTTATTGTATTGCACTTTGGTTTGTGCCTGTGGGCACACTTAAGTCAATATACATGATGGCTAGTACCACGTATTGCATCTGTCTGCACCCATGGGCCCTGGAATTGCCAGGGAGAGGGAGCTGGTGAATTAACTAGCACTGTGCCCGCTGGTGTAGTTACTTCAAGAGCAATACCACTGCTAATTGCTTAACTTCAACCTAATCATAATGCAAAATAACAGAACAAAAGTGCTGCGAGAATCCCAGTTCTTGCAGAAAATGGAGAGTAACATTTGTTCAATTCTAAGCTTGTTTGTTGCCAAAAGTGAGGAAGAAGCTCTTGGGGCAGGAGTCTCTGTTGTGGATAATTGCCCTTCTCCCCCTGCCTGTTTCACAGCCAGCACAGAGCTCCCTGCTCTCGCCAAGCTCTTACCTGCATGAAATCTAGTTCAGGGCTGGTGCTTACTCTGCTCATTAGTGCAATTACCACCAGATGCTGTGTGAGATGAAGGTCACTCTGGCTCAGTGCCACGACTGCCTCTTCAATAGGGTGATTGCTAAACTAACTCTGAGTGGAAATGGTGCAGCAGGTAATGTTGACATGCTGCAATTACCGCTCCGTCCTCACAGCGTGTTCAAACAGCGCTCGCTGCCTCCGTGCTGACTTGGCAACACCGGGACTGGCTTTGGGATGTGTATTGTGGGTCACTAGAAAATGTAGGAATTTCAGGAGAACGCCTCCCTCGAGCATTAGCTTATCTCTCAGCCTGTGTCTAGTCAGGTCCTCTCAGAACTCTGTTGAAAAATGGTAATTAAGTGATAAGGCTGAGTGTAAAGTCACACAGGGATAGATGGGCTGGGGTTCAGTGGTGCTGGGAGCCAGTTTTCACACCTGAAGAAATCTGAAGTGGGAGTCTTGAATACTCAGCAGAAGACATTAATGCAAGGGATTGGATTAGCCTTCCCTAGCAGTAGGGTCCTCTTTCCTTACTAATAAGGCTTACTTTTACTTCTTTTTAGGAGACCAGTGCAAAGAAAGTCAAGCTAGATGGGCACTGGGAACACAGACTGGATGAGTGCCACAAAGGGGCAGATGAGGAGGGGAAAAAGGTGGTAGAATTATTTTCCTTATAACAGTGTGGTACAGACCACAGATTAAGCTGCTGAACTGGCTGAAGCTCTGCAGTGCACTTTTTGTCTATGATGATGATGGCAGGGCTTCACAGCTCTGCTAATGCCAACCCTGTGTGGCTTCCTGTTCATATGGATCTTGTAATAAACACTGATTGTGTTACAGATGTCTCTGGTGTGACTGGAGACTAATGTGACTGTGACTGATGGACCAGATAAGCTCATTAGTAAAGTATCAGAATAAAATAACTTGGAGATGTGGAATGGCAATTATCCAGATGGAAAATGTCAGATTAAAACTGTAGAACAGTTAATAATGTATCGGTTTATAGTATTATCACTGCAAAGTAAAAAAAGTGGGGTGTTTATCTAGAGGGTGATGCTGCTGAAAGCTGATGATTAACCTTGTAAAAGGGACTAAACCAGGTGGAAAATACCATGTTCCTGTGAGCGATGTTTCTCCCCTCCATGTGGTTTTCTTTCACACAGGCTTGTCCTTCTTGTGACTGCAGCTCAGGAAAACCTGTGTAGACGGGCTCTTCTGCACTTCTTCTTTTTAAGTGTCAGTAGGAACAGGACTCCCTAAGCCACAATGCCTCTGGAGTTCAGAAGTTTATAATAGTGTACAGTGAGCTATAACCATTAAGTCTTCCACTCAAGTAAGTGGAGATTGGGTTTAGAGAGGATTAAGCTGTGTTATGGCAAACATTTACTGGGTATTAAAGGACAGGGCTAGAATTACTAGCTTTTTTTAACTTCTAGCAATCCTACAAAGTTGCTTTATGCAAGCTCAGTGAGCAGGGCAGTAAGAGGGGGAAAGGCACATAAAAACCCCCAAATATCTGGCGGGATCAATGAAGACATTGGTTCTGAGCGATGAACCAGTTGTTGGGGACGGCATCAGACAGCAAATATGAGACACAGACCTGAGCTACCATGAAACTCTGCATTAGTCAGCCTGGTTAATCGAGTTCTTCCCCAAATCCTCAGGGAATGTCTGCAGATGTGCAGATGGAGGTAGGCTGGATCAGAATGGTTCTGTTTAAGTGCCAACACGCCTCAGCCAGGATCTCTCGTACCTGTCTGTCAGTGGGAGGGTCTGAGTCCTGCTCCAACTTAGGGGTTTAAACACAGGCACCACCAGGGCGAGGTTGATTCCAAACGATTGCTGTGCTCAGCATCTCCAACACTCCTGTCCTGTTCTGTGAAAAAGGGATCTTGAAGTGCACCAGGAGTCTCCTCCTGCCCGACTGGAAGAGCCCTGGGTACACCTCAGATGAATTCTCCCTAGGGATGGAGGCCCCTCATCTTCCCTGGAAGCACTGCTTAGGCCTTAGAAGAGTCTGGGGGGGTTGTTTTTACTCTCGTGGTGTTTTGGGTTTTTTTGCTGCAAATCACAGAATATCCCGAGTTGCAAGGGACCCACCAGGATCATCCCGTCCAATTCCTGGCCCTGCACAGACACCCCAACACTCCACCCTGTCCTGAGAGCATTGTCCAAACCCTCCTGGAGCTCTGGCAGCCTTGGGGCCGTGACCACGGCCCTGAGGAGCCTGTTCAGTGCCCGACCACCCTCTGGGGGAAGAACCTTCTCCTGAGATCCAACCTGACCCTGCCGTGACACAGCTCCAGCCGTTCCCTGGGTCCTGTCACTGCTCACACAGAGCAGAGATGGTGCGGCACCGCACGAGGATGTTGAAGACCCCAGTGAGGTCTCCCCTCAGTCTCCTCCACGCTGAACAGACCAAGTGACCGAGTTGGGGTTGTTTTTTTTTTCAGTCAGGAGCTCTGGCAGCGCGGTGGGAGCGAGGCACAGCCGCTCAGTGCCGAGGGTCTCCCCGCCGGTCCCGCTCCCGTCCCGTCCCTCCCTCACGGCCCGCGCGCCGCCGGCTCCCGGCAGCTCCCGCGCTCGCGCAGACGCGGGCAGGACCGCACCACCGGCCCCGCGCCGGGGGGAGCGGGGCTCGGGGAGCTTCCTCGGCCATCGCCTCTGGTGCCGGGAGGCACCGGCCGAGCTCCGACTGGAAGCGAGCGGGACGCGCTGGGGCACAGTCGTTGCTCCGTGCGGCCTCGCGGCCGCAGGGCCCCGCCGCAACCTCCCCCTCCGGCCGCCGGGAATGGTTCGGCCCGGGCCCGGCCCGGCCGCGGAGGGGCCGCGGCCGCCATTTTGTGCGGCGCCGGCGGAGCGCGGCGGGCGGAGCGGGCATTGAGCGGGCACTGAGGGGCTCCGGGGACGCCGTTCCCTTCCCTGGCCGGTGAGCGGAGCGCGGGGCCGGTGGGACCGGGCTGCCCGCGGGGCTGGGGCGGGCGGAGCCGCGCACGGAGGGGGCAGGCTTGGGCGGGCCTGGCAGGCGGCGGGGCCCAGAGGGGCTGTGCCGAGCAGGCCCCGCGGCGGGAGCCGGTGGCACCCTCCCGCCGTGCTCGGGGACCCGTCGCTTCGGTCCCTCCGTAGCTCCGGGACGGCCCGAGGTGTCGGTCCGTGTGTCGGTCCGGCAGGGCCGGAGGCTTCGGTGTCAGTGTGTCAGTGAACGGCGCGTTTCGGTGTCCCCCGCTGTGTAATAAACACAGCGGTGCCTCGGGGCGAGGGAGACGAAAGCCGAGCCGGGGGGCACAGGGTGGTCGCTCACGCTGCTTTCCCCCTGTGCAGTTCAATAGCGTCCAGCGAGGATGTCGGAGTATATCCGGGTGACGGAGGACGAGAACGATGAGCCCATCGAGATCCCGTCGGAGGACGACGGCACGGTGCTGCTGTCCACGGTGACGGCGCAGTTCCCCGGGGCGTGCGGGCTCCGCTACAGGAACCCGGTGTCACAGTGCATGCGGGGGGTCCGGCTGGTCGAGGGCATCCTGCACGCCCCCGAGGCCGGCTGGGGGAACCTCGTCTACGTCGTCAACTATCCCAAAGGTCTGTGCTCGTTCCGTCGGTTCTTTGTACGAGGTTGCAGTGTTCTGCGTGAGTCACTGCTGAGCTAACGTGGCAACACTGTTCCTGTTGAACCCTCTGATTCATAGGGATCAGCGATTTATGTATATGTCTGTCCTGCCGAGTAGATTTGACCCCAGTAAGTTTTTAAGACTTTACCCAAACGAACACTTTAATGACAAAGTCTTGTGTTATCTTTGAAGGGTCCACAACCTCATCTAGACCTTCAGAGGCCGTGGTCTAATGGGACCTCTGTACTCACAGGCACTTCTCAAGCCTGGTTTGGTCAGAAGTACCATTTAAAAGTTATCAGGAAAAGAGAAGTCAGACCATCCTGCCCCACCCCTTTGGAAAAAAAGGGGAAGCAAATAAATCACTAATGCAATATTCTTGTTAAAACTTCCTGTCTTCTCCACCTTGTTATAGGCCTGTGAACGTTGCTGGATGATATTTAAGTAAACTAATGCAGAGCTAACTGGGTCAAATTGCATTTTGGAGGGGGACTTCAGTGTGGACTGGCTTTGGTCCAGGGCATTCAGATATTTTACAATAGGCTCCTAACAGCTGGCATGTGTCTCTTGTAGTCTGTACTCTTTCCCATCAGAGTTTATGATTTTATACCGTGCAGTTCATAATCAATGGATCGGTTTCCAGATTTGAGGATAATGTCTAATGTACTTTTTTATATTCAGATAATAAGAGAAAAATGGATGAAACTGATGCATCATCAGCTGTGAAAGTGAAACGAGCAGTACAGAAGACTTCAGATTTAATAGTCTTGGGTCTTCCCTGGAAAACCACTGAACAAGACTTAAAGGAATATTTCAGTACCTTTGGAGAAGTTCTGATGGTGCAGGTAAAATCCTTTTGCAGCTCAAGCAAAGAGGGACATTGGGTAGAAGTCAGGCTCCTGAGAAAGCAAGCAGAAACAATAGAGCCATGTAAACTTGGGGAAGATCAGAAGCTATGTCTCTTCCTAAGGGTGTGTTTTGTTCCATGAGCCTGTTATTAATTTTTGAGGGAGATGTTAAGGAATTAGATATTGCTGTGATAGCAGTATTTATAAGAACTCCCAAAAGAGATCTTCACTAAATTCCTTCAGTAACAATGCACTTCATCCTCGTGGTGACTTGTGGTTTTGTTTTTTGCCCTTAGGTTAAGAAGGACATTAAAACAGGCCACTCCAAAGGGTTTGGGTTTGTTCGGTTCACGGATTACGAAACCCAAGTGAAGGTGATGTCACAGCGGCACATGATCGATGGCAGGTGGTGTGACTGTAAACTCCCCAACTCTAAGGTACTTTGGGTTTTACTGCTGCTTTCATTGGTGCTGAAAGAAAAGAGGGAGGAGGTGGGTGAGTTGGGAAAATAGCTGGTTATGTGAGGCAGTGATGAAAATCTGGAAATAGTGTGTTTAATGTCCAGCAGTACCTGCCTAACTTGTCTGCTGCATGAATAAGTGCAGAATAAAGCAGCTGGAATAACTAATCTAGGGAAGAGCAGAATGAGTCTTTGAGTGCAGAACTGAACCTGTAGCTTCCAGTGTCTCTATAAGCAGTTATTACCAAAAAAGTGTCCTTCTGCAGTGGCCTTGTCACTGTCCCTGTGTGTTGCTCGTTTTCTTGTGGCTGCAGGCACGTTCTTGGAATAGAATTCCATTTATTTTTTAAACTCCTTTTACAATCTCAAACTTTCTTGATCTTCAGCCCGCAGAACAGGCCAGATTGAGGGGGGCCCTCATCATCCTATAACTCAGTTCTGCAGGGTGGTTGTGATGTTTTTGTCCTTCCCATCTCTGCAGCAGAGTCCCGACGAGCCTTTGCGCAGCAGGAAGGTGTTTGTGGGGCGCTGCACCGAGGACATGACGGCAGATGAACTCCGACAGTTCTTTGCCCAGTATGGGGAAGTGGTAGATGTCTTCATTCCTAAGCCCTTCCGGGCTTTTGCTTTTGTTACGTTTGCAGATGACCAGGTAAGTCATATTTTAACTTCATATTTAGCCTGCATTTCAGTAGCTTGATAAAGTATCATTTCTGGAACTACACATGAAACACTTACTTGTCCACTGTCCTGAGGATTCCAGTGGTGTTAGCTTGATCTGATTTATTGAATGGACTGAGGTTACATTTCCAGGCAGCTTTTTATACTGCAGCTAGCGTAGTGGTGAATGCAAAGATAAAACACTTCAGATCGGATTAAGTACATGCCTGTGCTTCCTTTGCAGGTTAAATATCTGCTCAGAGTCATGGGGGATGTTTTGTCTTGTACTACTAACATCTAAAAAAAAGACGTCTAACATACATTTAATCAATCCCTTATTTCTTATAGGTTGCCCAGTCTCTTTGTGGAGAGGACTTGATCATTAAAGGAATCAGCGTACATATATCCAATGCTGAACCTAAGCATAATAGCAATAGACAGTTAGAGAGAGGTGGAAGATTTGGTGGTAACCCGGGAGGCTTTGGGAACCAGGGGGGGTTTGGCAACAGCAGAGGAGGCGGGGGAGGACTGGGCAACAACCAGGGCAGCAACATGGGTGGGGGGATGAACTTCGGGGCCTTTAGCATCAACCCTGCCATGATGGCAGCGGCGCAGGCGGCCCTGCAGAGCAGCTGGGGCATGATGGGCATGTTGGCCAGCCAGCAGAACCAGTCGGGGCCCTCGGGGAACAACCAGCCCCAAGGCAACATGCAGCGGGAGCAGAACCAGGGCTTTAGCTCAGGCAACAACTCGTATGGAGGGTCCAACTCGGGGGCAGCCATAGGCTGGGGCTCGGCCTCCAACGCGGGCTCCAGCAGCGGGTTTAACGGAGGCTTTGGCTCCAGCATGGATTCCAAGTCCTCAGGCTGGGGGATGTAGACGCAGTGGGCTCTGATACTGACTCTATGGTGGGAAATCAAATTTTTCTAACTCATGGTAAGTATACTGTAAATTACATATATACTAAAGTTTTCCAAATCAATTTGTTCAGTGTGCAGTATATTCAGCAGTATTTTTGACATTTTTCTTTTTTTAAAAAAAAAAAAGAAAAAAAAAAGAAAAAGAAAAGAAAGGTAAAAGGAATTTTCTAAGTTTTGTTACATATCTAGTTGGAATTCTGAATGTTTGGAAGTGGACTGCTGTTTGCCCGACAGGTGAACTAACACTACAGTCGATAGGAAAGGTTTCTCCTGTAATACTTTATCCCTTGTTTCCTGGCTACCTGAATTCTTTGCATGTTCAAAATGGAACCATTGGTCAGAAACAGCATTCTCTCCCTCTTGTTTTTAATTTGATCCCACCATAAGACTCTCCAAGTGCCCCGTTGGACAACACAGTGTCGTTTTTGTTTTGTGTTTTTGTTTAACACTGTCTCCCCTCCATACTAAAGTACGATATGAAGGCTTCATTTAATCTCCGCAGTTCATCTCATTTCAAATGTGTATGGAAGAAGCACTTCATTGAAAGCAGTGCTGTAAATATTCTGCCTTAGGAATACTTCTGTCTACATGCTTTCTCATCCAAGAATACTTCATCACACCGCACATGCTGCGTCTTAGACGGTGGGTGTTCCATTTTTATCCGCTACTCTTTATTTCATGGAGTCGTATCAACGCTGTGAACGCAAGGCTGTGAGATGGAACCAGAAGGCTGTTTGAACTTTTGAAACCTTGTGTGGGATTGGTGGTGGTGCCGAGGCATGAGAGGGCTGGTATGTGCGAGATAAAGGAGCGAGCGCATGCAGAGACCTGGTGGTGCAGTAATGGGATTTTATTTGACTTGGCGAGATGTCTCTCAATCCTGTGGCTTTGGTGAGAGAGTGTGCGGAGAGCAATGATAGCAAATAAAGTACGAGTGTTTATTGCATTCAAAGGACATCCACATGTGGAAGACTTTAAGTGGGTTCTCTACCTAGTTAATCAATTAGTTGAATGTGTTATGTGAAATGGAATATTTGTATTTCTTTTCCCTTATGTCAACTGCTGTGAATGCTGTATGGTGTGTGTTTTTTTTCTGTTAATGATCTGTAAGTGTGGTAATGTGACTTGAAGACGATGGGGTTTGTGATGAGAACATTGAGCTTGTGGTGTGCTTTGCAGTAGCTCTTGTAGCAGAGATCACTAGAGCTCAGTGTGCCTCTCCAGGGTGGAAGTTCCACTGTCTGTAAGATATCCATAAGAATGCTGTTTGCTGCAGTTTCGTGTTTGGATGCTTTTTATAAGATTTGTCACTGTAGGAAATTCTTAAATAAAACTGATTTAAGTAATATGTGTCTTTGTTTTGCAGCCCTGAATGCAAAGAATTCATAGCAGTTAATTAATTTTACCCTTTTGAGATGAACTTCTGTAAAGCTTTTTGCAGTCACTCGGTTTGTTTCAGATAAGCAGGTTCTAAAGGAGCCACCGCCACACCTCTAAGCCACTGTACCCTTGCACTGTGCAGTGCCATAGATCTAAAATCCAGGTCCCACACCTTGGGGAGCCCGCACCTAGACTGGTAAGCAGCTCCCTCCAGATTCCATCTGTGCCAAGGAACGGGACTTGTTCGGTTAGGAGTCGGAGTTCCTCATCAGGAGGGGGTTGGGGGAGACAGACACTTGCTGTCCACAGCACCTCCTTTGGGGATGGATGTGTTTAACTTGTTTTTAGACCAGCCCACTCATGGGAAACAGGCTCCTGCCACACTTCCAGCCCAGAAGAACACTATTAACTCCTGGTGAAACTAGTCAGGAAAGACCTTCCAGCGAATAAAGCACCAGTAAATATAAACAGGCTGATAAATTCTGAGTCTGAAAAACTTAAGTTTATGACAGGTGTCACATAAGGGGCAGCTTCTTAAGGAAGGGCAGGATGTTTGAGCAGAAACTGGTGGAAGGGAAGTTCCACTGGTGGTAGGAGCTTGAGGAATTGTTTCACCTACTTGGGCTTGAAACCCACTGATCCCTGTTGTTCTGTGCACCGTAATCCTGTGCTGGAGCTGTGAACAGTCTGAATTGGGATATTTACACAGTTTTTAACCTATATAACTTTTCAAGTGAGATCTTCATTACTGTGTATCCTACTGAGGCTTGTGAAGGGCAGAGCACCTAAACAGCAGACAAAAGTGCACGGCTGAGTTTTCCACCTGCAGTATGAAAAAATCAGCTGTATCTCGATGTACTTGGTTTAAAGAGGGTTTCTAAACACTCAGGCTGAGAAGTAATCCTACACCTTTGTTCATATTCCACTGCAAAAAGTTGCTTACATTTTTTTTTCCTGCACCTAAGTCGGAATAATCTCCAAACTCTGTCCCATCTGTGAATTTTGCATTTTAGCACTTGCACTATTACCAGCTACTTCTGCTGAGTAACACTTAAAAATGGTATTCTTGGACCTCCAAAGACTAACTGTGACCCCCTGCAAGGAACTTCTTGGTAAGTTTTTGTAATTAGCATGGTTTTAATTCTGTTTAAATTGTTCAGGCTTAGGTTTTAAGTGGCTGGTTGGCAGCATTGAGTAGTCTTTGCTAATCATTTTAGCCTTCCTTGACCTTCAAACAAAATACCCAAAAATTTTAGAGTAATTTTCAAGTTTCAGTAGCATTTTTTAACTGCTTTGCATATTCTAGTGTTTATAAGTAAATAAACTATGATTGAAAATACATTGAAGTGTTTCGAGTCTTGATTTTTTTAAAGATACTTCATTTTCAATGATATTGTTCTAGAAAGTGAAATATTAATGAAAGAATGTGAGATACAAGGAAGAGAAAGTTTATATTGTAAGGGGGCTATATAATTTTTTTAAACTATTTATTTAAACATTTTTAAACATTTTATAAACATTTTTTTTCTGACCTTGCTTTTAATTAATTCTGAGAATCTGTTGCAGCTGTTCTGCCCTCCCCCTCACCTGCTGTCACCTGAGATCCATCTTCTCCTGGTAAACAAGCAGGTGTAAGAGTGGGACTAATTGGGACTGCCTGCTCCACTCTAACCAATACCATGATCAAAGTGGACAAGATCATTTTTATAACCTTCAGGAATTATTTTTGTCTGGCCTTCTTCATAGTGTTTGCTCAAAATCTCCAATGTCCTGCTCGAAGCTGAGGGGTTTCTTTGATCAGCTACACCACGAGCAGCTGTTAGAGCTGTTGTCACACACAGCTGATCCTCCTGATCCTCCTTTCCCTGTAATTACACCACTTGCCAGGGAAACTCTCCAGGCTCCCCTTGCTCCACAAAGTGCAAGACAACAAAGGCAGCCAGAGCTGTTTAACAGTTTGAGATCTGAACACTGAATTATTGTGCTTATACGGATTAAATTAAGTTAATGATTCTAAATGTAATTCCTAGATTGTTTTGGAATGGTAAAATTGCTTGCAAATGAATATTTGATTTAGAATACAATTTTCATTAGTAGTGCATCCCTTGGAAAAGTTCTGTAATCAAGAGAGACAGCATTGCTGAGGAATTTGGGCATGGAGAAGGAAATGCATTTGTTCTGAATGTAAATTAAGGTAATTGGAATATATGGATATTCTAATCTAAAAGATAAGAGCGACAATTATGCTATTACATTGTAAAATGTTTCTCCCAAAACTCAGTCTTGGATCTTGACTAATTTTACAGTGTAATTAATGTAGCAGTTCAGGCATTAAAAAACAAAATTCCCCAACCCTGTACTGTGCAGCGAGGGAATGCAGTGGCTTTTCCCCTCACAAGTACTGCTAGAGTGTGGTTCAGAAATCTTCCTGTCAGAAACAATGCCAAGCAATTTAAAAGCAACAATTTAGTTAATTATGAAACTGCATTCTCCAAAAGAGCTGGAGTAAAGGAGAACTGAACTGAGTTTAGGGCATTAATCTGCAATGCTGGCTGTGCTGGGGAGACTCAGGAAAGACCAAGGCATGTAAAATAGTAAATGGTTTAACAAATCTAAGGTCAGTATTAGTTATTACAGTCACACCATGGGGTTATCATAACATTTTCAGTTTTCTTAGTGTTAAACAGCACCTGTAGCACTTGCCAGTCTGAAAATCAGCGTAACAAAGGTGGTAATTGGTTGTTAAAATGAACATTCTGCAGTGAAGTGGTTCTGCCTCACCAGCTTAGAGGTACTAAAAGAAAGCCAGGAAAGCCACAGGGCTGTACCTGCTCCTGTGCAGGTGGAATAGCTGAGTGGGTGACTGTGCCCAGCCCAGCACGGGCAGGTCACTGCAGGCTGGAGCTGAGGCACGAGCTGCAGTGGCTCCAGTGTCCATCACCACGTGGATCTTGACCTGCATCCCAGAGACAGCACAAATGAGAACCAGGGACTGGAACAGCTGGGCACTGGTTAACAGCAGGAGTTAGGCATCCTCAGACAACATATTTTAGGTGGCTTTTGAGTCCCTTCGGGCTCCTGAGAAGGTGACTGTGTCACTTCCCCCCCTCGGGCTATTCCCAGGATTTAATCTATTAAATCCACTGATGGATTGGGAATGTAAGAAAGCTCCCAGCTGTGACTGAATGAAGCCTACCTGGGTACCTTTCAGCATTGCTTACACAGCCTTAAAAATGCAAATCCTTCCCACAGGCAAAGTTCCAGGTGTGTCCAGGTAAGGCAGGGACATTCCCTTTGCACCCCCCAGAGCCAAGGACCACGTTTAATTCCATGTTTAGGCCCTACTGTTACTGTTGGCCTTTCCAGGGCAGAACAGGGCTTCACACTGGCCCTGAATTTTGTCACTGCATTTTCACACACCCCCAGCTCTCCCACTGTATGTGTGGAATCCATAACTCTCACATCAGTTCAGTTATTCTGGGTTTCTACATAAACAGTGCAGCTGTCAAATCAGACAGCCTAGAAAGTAACTGCTGAGTTAAGACTCTGCCTTCCCAAACCACCCTCACCTACCCGTGATTTTAAAGTTCCATAAGCATACACCTTCCAAAACTGCCTGCTGGGAAGCTCAGTTCAGTTACTAAGGAGTATGTGTGAAGTGCAGCTTTCAGCAGGAATGACCATGTATTCCTGTTTTAACTTCCCTGGAGAGATGAGTAACAAACGGAAGAACATCAGAAAATCTCACTACGCTGATCTGGTGAAATCTTTTGTAAAATCATCCTTTTCTTCCAACGTAATTAGAAGCAAATCTCTGAGCAGCAGCAAGGGTAGATGGACACGCAGATGTGCACAGGAGCAATTCTTCAGGGAGGGTATCAAAGGTCAGTTGCTGACAAACCCAGTGTGCTGAACACACCTCTAATTACAGCACGCTGATGAGAAAGGGCACCTGCGTGTTTAATCCCCGGGAAATGGAGTCCAGGAGGGCTGACAAGGTTCACCCGTGTCGAGTAGTGATATCTCATGTCACCAGAGAGCACAGTCGTCACCAGGACAGGCCGGGCTTGCACTGGTGCGCTGTGACCATGGGGTGGTGCTTCAGCACTGCGGCACACGGACCTGCAGCGGGGCACGGAGCACAGCGCTCCCCTTAGAGCCCATTTGTTGCTGCTAAGGGCTCTTCGGGGAGAGCACACCCTTTCTCTGCCCTTCCTCTGCACTTTCACACTCGTGGATACAGATTTACAATTACTGAGAATTAAAGTTAAAACGGCGACTGACTCCCACCAAAGGGGAGCAGTGACCTGCACCGACAGGACCAGCCCAGGGTGGCTGTTGTCTCAGCACATACCTTGTAACTCTTGACAAGCTGGGAAAATTGGTCTCTAAAATAGTCATATGCCTGGATCCAAGCTGAACTGTAAGATCAGCTGCAATTCTGGGCTTCTCTCAGAACTTTACTTCAGAATTAAATTCCCTGGCAGCCACTTGGTTGGTAGGCACACTACTGAAAACAACCCATGAAACCACTGTTTCAAAGCACCAGTGTTTGGTCACTATTCAGGCCTTTCCAGTATGAAGTTCTGGGAACAGGGCAGAGATTGGGATGAAATCTAATTTGATGGCTTTAGTGAATTTTCCAAAAGAGGTGTTGAGAGGAAAAAAACCCCAAAGTGACAAAACTGAAGCAAGAAGAAGAAATGAACACATGGTGAAACATGGGCTGAAGAAGATGCAGTAAAAAAGCTGGGCCTGCCTCATAAAAGCTGTGATGAAATGCATTAAACCTCACCTTACCTTAAGGACATCACAGGGGCACAGCAGTCCTGGGTGTGTCTCCACATTAAAGGTCTCCACGAATTGCAGCACGATCAGGAAGCCTCTTCTATCTGGATCCTGTAGCTGCAGGAGCTGAGATCAGGTGTTGGACAGTCAGGGGCAGGGATTTCTCCAATTCTCTCAGTAAAAACGAGACTCTGACAGTGGGCTGGGAAAAAACAAACAACAGGAAATGATCATAGTTGTATTAACTCAGTTCAGCCACGCTGGGTAAAGGAGGAGGATCATTTTCTACACTAGTCTAGGCCTTCATGAAAGTTCTGGAGCCACAAATCTGTTGTGGTGGGTTGGGCACCAGCACTATCCAGCACTCCTGCCTCAGGAGAGGGGCAGGGAAGGACACCAGGAAAGCACCACTTGAACAGCCTGCAGGGCTGCAGGTCAGATACAGGGGTGATAACTGGAAGCTCCTCAGAAACATTCCAAGGTGTTAAATTTGCAGCTTGTCTGCTGCTCCAGAGTGTGTGGAGTGGTAAGATAGCCATCAGCTCTTCAGTTCCAGAAGCCTCTGAATGCAGCCCTTTCTTTTTAATGCCTTTGTTGCCAGACGTTTAGAATGTAATTGTATTCTCTGAGCGAAACCAGCTGTGCCTCTTGCCGGCACAATTGGAGCCACAAATGCTCCCTGCTGAAGAGAAGCAAGAAGGAACAGCCACAAGTGCCCCGAGGATCTCTGCTTGTTGACAGCATCTGATCACTGTGAAGTGGTGCTTTGATCAGCTGGGAACAAAGGCTTTATGATGTGCTGCAAAAGCTGGATGAGCAATCCTGTAATTGATGAGGAATGCTGGACTGGCTGATAACACCGGCAGATTTTTGCACCACTCTGACACTGAATTAATTGTAAGAGGGGAATTGTTTGACTTTGAATTGTATCCTCAAACACACCATGCTAACCTCCACCAACAAAAATGCCATTATCCAGGCATTAATTAGAGATTATCGCCCAAAACCAGATCATACAGTTTGTCATTTTAATGGAAGGTGACCAAGTTGTGAATGAGAAAACTACTGTCCCTTAACTAACTATGGATTTTGTTAGCCAAGGTTCTAAGCTTCTTTTACTTCAGAGAATGAAGCTCGTTTTCACCCTATGCTTCTGTGTCAGCCCCACTTGTTGCCATGGTAAATATTTGGATTACAAGCGTTTACTGGGAAAGGAAAGCAAGAACAGGTAAAAGGATAATCTTTTTGGTGTATGTTTGTGTGGCTCTCAGCCCAACTAAAATACCCCAACAGTCATGATGCACTTGGGCACCAAGTGTTCCTTTTAGCACAAGCTGTAATTTCAGAACAATCTCCCTCCCTCTGTCCATCTTCCCAGAGAGTTACGAGCAGCTGCTTTTGTTTGACATGAACCTTTTCATCGCCCCGGTGCCTGAGCACCTCTCAGTGTTCCAGATCATTCTCACAGGTTTTCAAACACAGCTGGCAGATACACAAACAGTTAATGAACACCTAGAAATGCCTATTCTGTTAAAACTGTGTGCTCTCCTAATTTATAAATCCTGTTTGGTCCAAAGAAATGGAGACAGCTTGACTAATTCACCTGGAGGTGCTGGCTGCCTCTGAATCCAGCCCTACAGCACCCTGCTTTGCACCAGCAGAGATCAGCTGAGCCACCAAGGGAATTCAGTCTTTTCCTTTCATGCTACACTTGTAGAGGATTATTAGTAAGTAGGTTTTTTTCCTTAATTATTACTGCCTCATTCTTCCCAGCTAAATGCACATTTCTGTAATGTCACTGACTGTCTCAAACTACAGAAGCATTTGACTATGTAAGAATAAAGCACATTTTCCAGCACACTCTCCTGAGCTGCTTAAAATATTCCAGACACAGAATTCACTGCTTCTCCCAGGCTTTAAGATCCCACTCTAATGTCTCCTTCCACCTCCTGTAAGCCCAGGCTAAGAAACACCCCGAAATCTGTTTGATATGCAGACCTAGCATATCTATGCTCACCCCATGGAAGTGCAAAAAAAAACCTGCTTCTCTTAAAACTGAAATTTCCTCATGCTGCCAGTATCTGTGCCAACTCCACAGCCCCTCCAGGAGTAGTCTGGAGGCAATTATAGGAAAAGATAGGGATGAAAACATGAAATCCTTAGGTGTGAGAAAAGACAGTGGGAGTTCCTACCCTAAGCATACAAGTCACAATATAATGAAGACTACCTTTATGCCCCCAACTCCCTACTGAAATCATTAGGAAGTTAGGATCTCAAATTCTTTGCCAGTTGTGCAACGGAATCCTTATCATATAACCTACAAAAACATTTGTCCCTGGGCATGGGACCTCCCATGCAAAGAAGGGATTACTCAGGTTGGTAAGGTTAAATTCTTTCTTACAAGAACCTCAGAATCAGAAGGCAGCAACACCTTGGCTTCTGTTTACCAAGGTGATCCATGTTATCCTTTGCTGAAAGTATGTTTAAAGGAATGTTATTAGACTAAAGCTCAGCATAAATACATGTAATAGAGAGAAAGGATGAAGAAAATCCCACTGTGTGATAACACAGATATGCCACAGACACAAAACAACAGTGTGTAAAACCACCACTGTAGCTCCTGAAAGCTGTTTACCTTCTCAATAATGAGGGCAAAGGAACACATGATGAATGTAAAGGGTGAAAACCACAAACCTGATACAAAGCCAGGATTATGCTCCTGCATGAAGGATACTTTAAACAACACTCACAGAACTGTATTGTCCACTGAAGTGTGAGGGGCTGGCCAGGCTCACGGGTTGGACTCCAGGGATCCTCAGCCCGGGTCCATTCTGGCAAGGCACGTTCCAGAACTGCTCTGACTGCCCAGGTGCTGGTTCAGAGGCTCTTCGGGGCAGAGGCTGCTCTGTGTTCACATAGCAAAGAGCAGCACCACGCCTGTGCACAGAGCTGGGCTCCCCACACACTGCTACAGCTCAAACAAAACCAGTGCCCTGCCAGGAGCCCAGCAATTCAGAAAACTGGCCTTGTTTTGGAGGACTGAAAAAGGAGAAAGACAGAGACTAATATTTTTTCATACTTCATTACATCTGTCTCCTTTCAATTCAATCCCTAATGTTGATGTAAGATTTTCATGATACAGTTTGGGAAAAATGTGAATCATCACCAATAAACTCTCTTGACCTGTGCTCACATGAACAGCCAGAACTGGCTGACCCAACAGAAGACACTCTGCTAATCCAAGGGAATCTGCAGCTTGAAGATGAAAAGGCTCAGACTGGACCTTACTTTTCTCCTAATACCTTCTGGATGTGGCCACTGGGAGTTCCCTTTGTCAGGGCAGTATTTTTTTCCATAATTCGGTGAGCAAGAAAGTCATAAACACCCAGCACAAAAAGGATCAAATGATTTTTTTAACATCTGCCAGCAGAAATGCTCTCCCTTGACTGCTCAGTCCGAGCTTTAGGGCTGTCCTGAGAGTGCTCAATTATGCCTAGGCCATATTTTTATTAGGATCACAGTGAACTGTTTGCCAGAGGCTTGAACCCTGAAAAATGGCCCCCTCAAAACTTGCGGGTCCATTGTCATTCTCTCATTAGGGCCCCAACGAAAGGTGGGTCATAAATTGTGTCACTGATCCATGACAAAATTTCAGGCTGCTTTGATCACAATTCACTGTGACCATGAAACAGCCTCTGAACAGGATTAAACATGGCACAAGTAAGCCTTGGTAGTGCTTGCACAGCCACTCTACCCCCAGATCTGTTCCCTGCAGCACCCACCTCCTCGACACTTACTAAGCATGTTCCCAGTAAGTCAGGGCAGGGATGTTTCCTCTCATTTTGCTTATGGATATTCAAAGCTGGTACCAAGTGATTTGCTCAAGGGAACATCAAAGCCTGCAAATGCAGTGGCCTGAAATGAGTTGTGTCCCACCTAAAAGACTTCATCTTTCCTCCCATGCTCACCTGGAAAAGGGTTCCTTCCCAGTTTATTCCACAGCTGGAGTAACCAAGCCTCATAAATAACAATCAAAAGCAACTCCTGCTAAATAGCAGAAATAAGGCAATACTGATTGGCTAATGCTCCTTAATCCCTCAAGCTTTTAAACAAAGCCTTGTCTTACCTTCAGCAGTTCCCCTAGAGCTGCTGAGCTCTGACTTGTTAAACTCCTGCAATAATCATCCCGTTTCCCCCCCAGAGCTGGGGGGCCCTAGTCCCTGACAAGTACAAAACACAGCATTTCTCCAGCATGTTTGAAGATGGTCCCTGCCCAAAGTGGGTACAGCCTAAATGGACATGAAATGGGGATCACTGTGGAGCAGGGAGAAGCACTTAGAGGCACTGAGACACCACAAGCAATTGAGCTGAAGAACAGCATTTCTGGTGTTGCATCTACATGGGGAGAGCACCTGTGAAGAAAAGGCACCTCAGCTGCCTGTGACATTCATATGACTTTACCAAACTCCTGGAACTCCAAAGTTTTTCTTACCAGAACCCACTTCAGCCATGAGGCCAGGTTCCCAATGGAGAAATGGCCAGAGTCACAAAATGGGGATAAAGAAAAATTCAGACCTTTCCAGAGAGTGAATGGGCTTTGAATAGCAAGTTTCAATCTACAGATCTGTGTGCAGACAGGAGTGTATCTAAAAGGACCATTAGGGAACAAAGGTGTGGTCATGGGTTTGTTGCAGTTTAAGAACTATGGAAGGTCAAGCAACAAGAGCTGGACAAGAAATTCAAGAGTCTTCATGTTTAGCTGTGATGCTCAGGGGCCTTTCACAATTGGCTCCCCTCTTATCAGCTCTTGCCTTATCTACCTTCTTTTTTCCCAAGTGACACATGGAAATGTGAGAAAATGAACGCCCCAGAGGCTGCCATCAGCTTTCAACAAGGAACAGCCTCTTTATTGTCTGCAGGAGGCAGGTCTGAAAGGCAAGGAACCACAGCAGACAAGTCATGGAACAAGAGAAGCCTGCAGCCCTTGGGCAGACTGCAACAGGCAGGTCAGGAGGGAGGGAAACCAGCTCTTCCCAGAACATCTGTCTCCATCTCTGCCTAAGCGAGGAGAAGTTTAATTATCTGACGCTGGAAAATAAAGGAGAAAAAGAGCCTGTCAACAGCAACCTGCCCAGGCAGGAGCCCAACACTCACAGCTTTTGCCCTCATCTCATGAAGGAGGTCTGCAGAGACCTTGTCCTTGCAGCCCAGTGGCTGGAGCAGCTGCAGCCCTGAATCTAAGGGCTCTAAATGTGAGCAGGTTCCAGCACATCAGCTGCACCACAGAAATTCCCAATTCTCAATTCCCAACTCCTCCATCCAGGTAGCCCAGCCCTCTGCTATTGCTGAGAAGCTCCCTGTGCTCAGGCTCTGTTCAAGGAGGGGGACAGAACTGGGCACACACAAATGGTCAGTGCAGAGCTGACAGTTCACAGCTTTCCAGTTTGCACCTTTACATCAAGGGCAGACACAGGCTTTACAGTGCCAGTAAATCCATATACTTGTGCTAAAAGCCATCACTTCAGGACAGTCTGTTCCAATACACTGGAGACATGAGGAGCTCAAATCTTGAATCAGACCCAGGCAGCCACGGCTGGAGAGAGTATGTAATGGGCCAGAGTTGGGAAGACAAATGCCAAGGCAACCTTAAGCACTGGAAGCTGGATCCAATTCTGTATTTCAGCACAGGGGAGCTCAAGGAAACCATCTTCCACCTCTGACAGTATTTATGAGCAGTATGTGTGCTGGTTCTGTCCAGACAGAGTTCAGCTCCAGGTGGCAAAGCTGCACCCCCAAAGGATGGACCTCTCACCCTGTGTTTCACTGCACAGGGAATCCTGAGGTGTTGATCTTTTCCCCTGGTTTGACCTGAGCAGCAGAGCTGGGCAGCAGTGAGAGATCTCACAGTGTGAGCCCTCCAAACAAGAGATCCGTGCCTGGTCAGCCTCCCATTAATGAGTGGATCGTGGTAGCTGGTGTCAGTGATATGTGGATTGTGCTGCTTCTTGGCCTGTGGCCTTCCAGGGAAGAAAACTATTTCTCCATTAGACTTCACAATTCAATTGTCAGTTTTTCCAACACATCTACTAATCTGGGTCCAGACTACTCAGTATCTCAGTACCCAGGGAACAAGATGTACTCAGTTTTGCAAGACTGGCTGCACTGGCAGCCATGAACACGGGAAGTGTCTGTGGTGGGAAGTGTAAGGCAAGTTTCTTGCCTCTCCCATTCAACCCACCTAAAGGTGAACAGAAGTGGAAAGGAGTAACCACAACCAAGTGCCATAGCACCATTTTACTGCCACACAAAATTGCTGTCCCTGATGGCAACCACTCTGCAAAGGAGGGCCTCTGCTCCCAGCCCTGACCAACCCCCTGAAGTGCCTTCCAGCTGCACCAGGTGAATAGGGAGAAGTGAAAACAACAGCAAAACCCCACAGATTTCACCTTGTTGTTAGAGCCAGGACTGGATTGAAGTGGGTGTTGTAGGTAGGGAAGTATCTCCTGATCTATCAAGAGCTCACCTGTGCATGTCCTCTTGTTTTCATGCAGTGTGTAGCCAACCCTGCAGCTGCAATAGTAGCCCCCCACGTAGTTGTGACAGTGATGATTGCAGAGGGGTTCACCATCCAACAGCTGCTTGCACTCATCAATATCTAATGGGCAAAGCACAGAATCAGGCAAACAACACCCTTCAACAATGTGTTCTCTCATTCTGAGCCGCTCTGTTTTGAGAGGTTGGGCTGTTTGCCTTTGGTTGCTGTGCCCTTCTGCACCTGCCTCTGTACAGTGAGACATCTCCCACCCCACACCCACAGCACAGAACACAGCGAAGCACCAACCCCCCCACAGCTGTGGCTCTTCCATCTACATCTCTTATCTAAGATCTTATCTCCATGAAAGATCTCTTACCTTCAGCAGCATAGAAGGCCTCAAAGCCCGTGAATGGTTTCTCATTGGAGTAGTCGGACCGGAACACCACCACGAGGTGGTTGGCCATGGAGATGTATGTCTTGTTGCCCGGAGCCTCCTCAGTGTCTGTGCTCTCCTTTCCACACAGTGTAGCCAAGGTCTTCCCACCAGAGCTCAGCTGGAAGACAGACAGACAAATCCACCAGATGAGCACAGAGCACTGATCTTCCCAACCTGCCGCCATGGCTTGGAAAGCTTGTGTTTAGTGGCGTGAGGAAGGAGGTTTGGATGCTCTCAAAACGTGCTTCTGGAGATCAGTCTACATCCAAGGACAGATAAGAGATGATTTCCCCCATTCTCTGTGATTTAAGCCCATAATTTTGTCTCCCTTTTTCCTTTCTTGTTAACTTGGTGCTCTCAGGGACAATCAGATCTTGGTAAAGCCTGAGGCAACTGGGGTGAAAAGAAAAAGTTTCACACGCTGACAAATTCAAATGTATAGTAAAAGGTGTCTTTAAATGAGTGACTCACTTGCTCTATGATTCACCTATTACAGTTTCAGTTCTTAATTTATCTTTAATACAAGAGAAATGTTCTGACACATGGGGTTTATGTTGGGCATGATAGAGAGGGAGCTATGTACTACAGACCTACCAGAAAGGAGTACTCCATCCTGCCCAAAGGAAAGTACATGAAGAGCAACATGGATCTGGGGAATGGGAGCAACTTGCCATATAACACCATGGAAATGAGATCTTTCTAAGTGGGAAGAGCCTGGTTTGGTTCTGTCAGATGGAAACTGGGCTTGCACACTCCCTGTGTACAGAGCTCCCTCTTGGATGTGCATCAGGCCCACACAAACACGTTCTTCCTGAGGTTGTTTGTCACGTTAGCCAGCAGACACCACAGCCAGTGCCCGTTCAGACAAGCTGACAGCAACTTGTTTAGACCATCACATTTTGTGGTCTCCCAGTTCTGCTTTCTTGTCCTGTGGGCCTCAATAAATACGTCATTTAGAGATCAGCTGAGCCTGAACTTTACAAGCAGACTAGAATCAAGTGCTTACAAGAGTTATACTGGTCCTACTGGTGCCCAGGATCACATAAACACAGTTTTTAACAGCTTAGCCTGCTACATGTCACCCCATCCTACACATACCTTCACATAATCATATTCACACAGGTAGGACAGCTCCAGGTTGAAATGGGTAAAGTAGATACGGACAGAATATCCCTTGGGGACAGTAATATTCCAGATTCTCTCCTTGTGGTTTGGGTAGACATTGGGAAAGTTTGGGGACGTGATCCTCCCATACATTTTCTGTGGCACAACACTGCTCTTCGCTCCACTGTAGAGCACAGCCAGCAAGACAAACAGCCTGAGTCAAGGAACAGAGATTAACAGAGGAAGAGTGAGCATTGACTCAGATCATAGCCCAAACCCACACATCTAAGTTGCCAGGCTCAATATCAAATCAGGTATTTCAGCACGAGCTGAAATCTTCATGTCCACCACCCTTCTCATTTGACAGTGGAAGAAATTGGTTGGAATCAGTGCAGCCATACTCTAGTAGCAGCTAAACAAGATGAGACACGTTCCTGCCTTCCAGAGCCTGCACAAAGCCAAGTGGCCAGAGGAGCTGGGGAGGGCCCTGCCACCACACTCACCTCATGGTGCTGCTCTCCTGTCCGAGCCTGCTCCGCTCTGAGCCCCGGGCAAGGAACCTCTGCTGGTGTATTTGCATTTGGGGGTGGATGTATTTACTGTGTGTGCTCTGCTGTGTTTATCTGGATGTTGAACTCTGATGTTTATCTCCCTTCCACCCCCTTCAGCCTGCTGAGTTCTGGGAACAGCAGTCACTAAAAAGCAGGCTTGTGTTCAGGCTTCAGTGAGGGACGGGGAGAGGCAGGCAGGGATGGAGCGGCTGGCTCAGGAATGCTGCAGGCTCTTGCAGGGAGCTGTAGTATCGCTGCTCTCTGGGAAGGCGGCAGTGGGAGGAGGTGGCTCAGACAGTGTCTGCACAGGGAGTGTGGGGAGCTGGGCAATGTTCTTTCCCCTCTAACCAGCTGATCCACAATCCTACTAATGCAACCAGCCCGGTACTGGGAGTAGTTCCTTCTGTTGCCAGAGCAGGAAGATGTTAGGGACAAAATTATGGGGCACATCACAGGATTTTAGAATAGGGAGGAATCTCGTTAGGTGGTTCTGTGTAATGGCACAGAAATACTCAGGGACACCACACTACAGAGTTTCAGAGATGCCAAAGTCTTCCAGTTCTCAGCATTACATTTTAACCCAGTGCAAGCTTGTGGTGACTGAAACCTGCTCCAAGCCTTGTTCATATGCATGGGTTGCTTTTTACCCTGCCCATCCTGGAACGCCCGTAAGGTAAAACGGGCACACTAAAAAAATAACTCAAATTTCTTCTAAACATTGTGGGTCCACACAGGGATTTCACACTGCCCAGGGAATTCAACTGGGAGAGTCAATGCCTATAGGACATAAAGCTTTATTAATTCCACTGCTTGCAGGCTGCTTCTTTCCAAGTCAGCACTTAGTTTTCCCACAAAACTCCTATTCCAGTGCACATGGAGATAGGCCTGAATTTATAGAGGGTGAAAAGCCAGATACGTTAATGCTGAGCTTAGGTCCACCTCTTCCTTGACAAAAATGGACAGAGAGTGGGAAAACTGGTCTGCAGCGGGGAACAGACCACTGCACTGCACAGAGAGGAAATTTATCCAGAGATATCCTTTAATTAAATGGACACCTTTTGAGCAGCCAAAAAATCATTACCCCAGGCAGTGAGACTGCAGGAAAGCAGGAGTTATTACATGAGCAAAAACTAAGGCAAACAAACCATTTGGCAGACTGCAAACAGAAAATACCATTTAATAAAAGTGAAGGAGAAAGTAGTAGCAGTAATAATTAATTGTGTAGTAGCAGTACCTACAAACACGGCTAATGGACAAGAACCCAGAGGGGATTAGCTTTTCCCATGGCCCACTAGCTGTTAAAATGATTCTATCAACAAGATAGATGTGGACCTTAAACTGGTTGGAAACGAGGGAAGAGAAGGAAAATTTTGCAAAAAAATCAATCCGTGCCTAACTGAGCTGTTGCCTGATTCCCCCAGGCAAAAATACTTCCAGAAGCATCCCCCATCAGGCTTCCTGCTGGGTTCAGTAGCAGAGGCACAGAGTCAACTGTGATCTTAGGTCTGAAGGGTTTCTCACAGCCCTGAACTTGATGAGGCCCCTGCAGCTGAGGGTTGCTGGACCCAGACAGCTGCCTTAGTAAACTGTACCCCTGGAGCCTGAGAAGCTGAATGCTTGGTGCACACACCAGCTTTCCCCTGGTCTGGGGAGAAGCACTTGATGTGGACCACGCCAAAAACACTGTCCCTGTTTCTCCACCCAGAATCCTTCCAGCTCCAAAGGCCATCAGGCTCAGATCAGCAGGTGCAGCAGTGTTTTGGGAGTGCTGTGACAGCAGACTTCAGGCCACACAGATGCTCCTCTTGTCCCCAGTCTCCCCTTGGCACAGGACTAAGCCAGCCCTAAGGCTGGGCACTTCATCCATGTCACTGCAGCTTCCAGTGCCCTGGGACTTGCTGAGTTACTGATCCACTTTAGGAAATTTGGGTGTTACCTGGAATGATGCCTCCTGAGAAGTCTGACCAGCTGTCTTCTTGTGCATCTGTCTCCTTCCACGCTGAGGGCTGACTGAGGGAGCACAAAGCTGAGCTGCATTCTCAACAGAAATGCCAGGCCAAGGTTCAGAGAAAGGACTTCCCTTGGAAAAAAAATCTTCTGTGGAATGGAAGAATATGGAATTACACAGAGATTCTGGAGAGTCCTTGTCTGAGCCCACACTTTCCCTCAGACACTGTACAGTCTCCCAGAATATGCTTTTACTACTTGACACTGAGGTCTGTCAAGGAAAGGTTTCAAATCCCTCCTGTGGCAACAGGGAGTGCAGACAGCAAAGTCAGACACATGAATAAACCAGCAAGAGCAGAGCTGCTCAGCCAGCACAGTGCCTCAGGCTGGTACCACTAAGGTCCAGAGACTGGATCTCCACTTTCCCTGCAAAACCAAACACCAGCAGGAACCAACTGAAAAGATGAGAAGGCTGGAAAGCAGCTTTGTTGCTGGGGCTGTCACCGAAGTGCTGTGAGATCCAGGCTAAGTCATGGGGCAGCCCTTCAGTTCAGATTTCCCTCTGACCTCAAGTTCTAAAACTGCAAAAATATTACCTGAGGTAGGTTTTGCCTAAGCTGTCTTTCTACAGAAAGAGTTTCGGTTGTAACAAACTGTGAGCTCCTGTAAAAATGAAATCAATACAGCTCCACTTAATCAAAAAAGTCCCAGACAGCTCTATTCTCAAATGGACCATGCAAAACCACACAGTGCCTCCAAAAATCAGCTTGTGCTGGGGGACAAAACCACCTCTGGGTCTTTGAAAGGCAGCTCCTGCACTCTGGTAGCAGTCCCATGGAAAGCACTGCAGTCACTGGCTGGTGTTTCAGGTATAATAAACAGCACAGTGAGCACCTGAACGTGCCTCTGGGTCTGAAACCTGGGTACAGTGCCAAAGCAAGAGGCTGGGTAATGAATGGAGGAAAAGCACAGTGCACTCATCTGACAGAGCAGGGCTGTCCCTGCGTCACCAACCAGGGCAGCAAATGAGCAAAAGAGCTGCTTGCTGTGATCCCTGAAGACACTGCTCCCCACTGCCCCTGCTCTCCCAAACGCCAGCTGCCTCTGCAGAGCCCTGAGAGATTGCTGGGATGCTTGTTCCATGGCTAAATCCCATCCTCCTGCACTGAGGGCTTCAGAGGACAGGGGGAAGCAAATGCAGCAGAGGAAAAGACGTTCTGTTTCCTCATCACAAATCAAATAGCGTGACTGACATCAAAAGACAAGCACACAGACGGAGCAAGCAGAGCATGGAGTGGGGCAGGGGGAAGAGCCTGGTTGCTGTGAAACAGAGAAAAAAATAATCTTGCCAGGGGAAAAACAGGAGGCAGGGAAAGCTCCTGCAATGGGGCAAGACACTTTCATCAGTTAGGGCAGGCTTTCCTCCTTCCCACGCTGTCTGCTGCCACCTCATTGCTCTATATTCTGTTTGCAAAGACAGACTCCAGCTGCTACAGTGCTGTGGAACATTTCTCCAGCAGGGAAAAAACCACTAGCCTTGGCCTCTTTACCCTGCACAGATAGACTTCCAAAGGACAGCCAATGTAACTCCACAATGTCATCCTCATCTGAAACCTCTCAGGTCTGAGCTCAGATTTTCCAGGAAGATCAACAGAAACTCTGCAGTAAAGATGCTGGTTGACAGTTTTGCTCCTCTGGTATGATCAGAGCTCTCAAAAGCAAGGGTGACCACCATCACCTGTGTGGGACTGGCCTCAGGCTGGGAAACATGACCTCTCCAGGAGCACCACAGAGCTCACACAATTTATACAGCATGTGTGTGTACATACTGAAAATGATGGATAGGTTCTGTTTAACTGCACAGCTGCAGGATCCATCAGCACATCATTTTCACCTCTGCCAGCCCATCTCAACCACTGCATGGACAGATGTGTATTTATGCACGTGACTGTACAAATGCCAGGGCAAATCCCTGCACTGCACACACTCATTCCCTTGGGAAGAGAGCATGACACAAGTAAGAGATGCTGAACACTCTACTCTGTTTCCTCCTGGAAAAAAACTCCCACTCTGCCGTGGGGAAGGCAGCACAAGAACTGCCCAGGTCAGACTCTTTTCCTCTGTCCCCCAGTGCCACTGGCCTGGCTCTCAGGAAATGAAGGAGCTCACACAGCTACTGTCTCGCTCCCACCCACACCCTTGGTAGCTGCACTACGTCTGCTGGGCCAGCTCCAAGTCTCTGACTTCACTGGAGCAGCTGCTTGTGCTGGGAAGAGGATTTAGTTACAATTCAGATGCAGCTACAGCCAAAGCTATGAAACAGTGCTGTCTTCTCTCCAAGCAGAGATGCTCTGCACGTTCCAGGCACAGCCAACACATTTTCCCTGGGTAAACCTGCCTCCAAACAGCCAAGAGGGACAAAGGGGGTGGATGAATCACATGTCCAGCATGTATCTCTTGTCCAACATGAGGTCTCAAAGCAGGGAAGGAAAGTGAGAAGAAAGAAAAATATGACAAATCTCTGTACCAAAGGCCAGCCAAGGATAAGCCCATCAGGAACTCCCAGCTGTGAATAGAGTGAGGGTAATGAAAAGCCTTCCTTGAACCTGTTGTAGCCTCATTCAGCAAGCAGCTTGGCCCTGCAGAGCAATTAGGAGACTTTTCAGCTCCCAGAACATCCACCCAGGAACCACAGTCTCATTTAGAGAGAGTGGTTTGGGGTTACACACCTGCCAGGATGACTGGAAGGCCTGGAAAGTCACTTGCCAGCTTGGAAACAGCTCTTAGCACGTGCATTCCCTCCAGCACAGTCTCCAGCAAGAGGATCCACTTGAGCAGTAGCTTCTCTCCAAACCCATTCACTGTCAGGGGAGAACTGCAAAGCAAGTTTGGCAGAACCATATCCTTCTCCTGCTGGAATTCCCATGTAATCCTCCACTCTTACAGCCTCTGTTAAACAAGGCTTAAACCTTTCCCTGTCTGCAGAACCAGACCCTGCAGAGCACAGCAACCACCACTACATCGGGATGAAACCCTGGGTTTTCAAAAAAGGGGAACCTGGACCTCATCTTCCACCCCAAACCACAGCACACAAGGTGCTCTCAGCTGAGAGCACAAGGTCTGCCTTTGGAAGTCAGAGCTTGGCTGCTTGTCTCTATTTCCACCTCCCTTCCATTTGTTCCTTCTTTCACGACTGCTCTTCCTCTACATGTATGTGCATTAATTAACACCCTGAAGAACTGTACTCTCCTCCCAAATGGGCAACTTGCTGAGACTGCAGGAGACAGTAAATTCCTGAGGCTCCCTCTCTGCTCAGGAAGAGGGAGAAGCTGAGAAATGTGCTGAAAAATAGGCTTGAACAGCATCAGGACTGGCAAATTCATTAAACCCACTTGCAACAGGCTCCTCTGCAATTGTCCACAGCCTGAATTTTTTCGTAACAAATAGGCTATTACCTCGCTAATCTAGACAAACAGTAAAGCCAGCCCAAAGCATTCCCAAAATAAGAGCTACTGCTCAGACATTAAAGAGTTGGTGTGATACACTGGAATGGACAAATCTTCCCTCTGGCTAAATCCCTCACTGAATACACACAACCTCATTCCTGCCTTGGAGAAAATAGATTGAAGGCGTGTTAGAGCCAACAGTCCCATCAATCAGAACCTGGATATTAAAATGCCTGTAGCACTCCAGGAATAAGAAACAAACCTACCAAGCAACCAGCTGAGCCAAACTTTTGCTGACCACTTCAAAGAAAAAAAAATTGCTTTTCTCAACTATTTCAAATTGCTCCCCCTTCAAAGAAGTCTGGGATCTCTGACTGTTCTCTCTTTGGAGGAGAAATTAGGGATACTTTCTAGGTACTAGGTACCTTCTAGAGGTTTTCTAGAAGTAACAAAGACTGGCTTTATCAATCTTATTTTTAAGGCAGAAATGTCAAATCTATTCTTGCAGAAAAGAACTGGAAGTGTTCAAACCAAACCACTGTATTTCAGTCAAGATGTAAGCTCATTTTCCACAAAATTCCACCCTGAAGTTCTTGTTTCTTGCCCTAGAGGGGAAAAACAAAACCCCCAAGCCTATCAAAATGCAGGGCAAGAGTTGCACCCTGAATGAACATTTTACTCCTCAGCTTCTCTGCTTGACTTTGCTTCCCTCACAGAAATCTTCATAAAGCCATAACCTCCAAAACACCATTTGATCCTGTGTCCCTTTGTTTTGGGCCATGTCAAACACCTGGATTTGAGGTGAGAGTGCTATTGTTTCACAGAGAAATTTAATTCTGTCTTTTAAGTAAGTGAGACACTTACCTGGCTTCCTTCTCCTCACTTTTCAGCATTATGAAATCCACAGTGCCAAAGCTTCGCCAGAAGTCATGACTAAAGCTTGAACAATAGAGGGAATCTGCAAAAAGAAAACAAGAGCTTTTAAATAGAGTTTTCAACAAAACCCAATTAAGCAGAAGCCTCACAAAGGAGAGGTGAGCTCGTGCCAACACAGCACTGTATTCTGACTCAGAAAAATCTGCAATTCAGAGATAGGCAGAGCTATAACCTGGCTGCACAAAACTGAATGCTCAGGTGTTGGCACTCAAATACTGCCTGGATTAAGGAGTTACCTGACTGCTACACACAGGTGATTACAAATGTGACTCTTTCACACCTGTTGGACACACTGCCACCTGTTTGTATTTCCTACCAGCAGGTCCACCACTTGTTGAGCCTCAAAGCTGTGTGCAGAAAAAGCCTACTGGAAACTGCTGACGTGCCCTGGAGGCACTGGGCCTGCTGGCAAGCAAAGGAGACTTGGTATATTCGTGTAGCCCTCTAATTTAAAATTAGGCACAGAGTCTATGAAAGTATGTCCTAAATTGACCCAGCCATAGTAACTGACAGTGACTTCCACCAGCCATCAGCTTCAGGATCTTACTTTGCCCCAGCAATGCTCAGCTCCACTGGAAAGGCAAACAAAATGATTTGGCTACATGCAGAGTTAATTTTGTACAAGGATACAAAATGGATCTAACCCCGTTCCAGCCTGCATGGCAATGCCCTCAGCTAAGATCTGAGCCCCCTTAGCTAACAGTTAAAACTAAAAGAAGAAACTCTGGGGGAGTCAAAGTGAAGATATTTCGATACACCTGTATGGGGCAGGGAAAAGGGAAACAGCCTTGCTATGGCATGTGTTCATCTGACGTGGTAAGAGCAATACAGAGCCAGCAAATTAAAAGATCATCACATGTAATTTAAATGTTTGGCTGGAATCCCCCGAGGCCCAGTGGGAAGAATCTCCGAGGAAAGGAAGATGCTTTGTTTGATGTATGTTAGCAAGGAGGGAACTGAGCCAGAGTGCTCACACAGCTGGGGGAATTGCTCTTGCTGAAGTCAGATTACTCCAACTTGTCTGTTGGCCTGTGCTCAGCAGCCCTGTAATGACCCAGAATTGCAGCTGACAGATTGGTGCTGAGTTTCTCTCGCTGAGGCTCCTGTGTGTGGATGAGCCATTACTCTTTCAATTTTGGGCTCTGATGCCTGTTAACATACATTAGGCTTTTCCATATGGTGCATCTTAGCCTGGTGTCCAGGGCAGCTGCCTGGGCCTCTGTCCCCATCCCCATGCTCAGGCCCTGGCTAATGAAAATGGATGATGGCCCCAGCTCGGTAATGGGACACAGATGGACCAAATGGTTTTTCGCTTTGAAACATATTTTCATTTAAGAAAGTCTCCAAAGACTGTGAGCTTTTTATTCTTGTATCACTGTAATATTCCCCCCTAATACACCACAATCTTCAGACAGGTGAGGAATTCAAAGATGCCAACTTTCAGTTTAGCTGGATCTGCAAGTCTACACACCAGTGCCCTGTTCTGCTGATGGTCTTGACATGTTCTCACTTTCCTCCTCTCCCATCTCACCTCTTCTGCTCATACTGAAAGATCTGCAGTGTGAGAAGCTGCATTTTTGGGGGCAGATCTGTTAAAAGAAGGCCTGACAGGTTGCTAAACCAGCCTCAGCTGAAAGACTGCACTGCCTCCTACAACACAGATAATAATAATAAATTAAACAACTGCTTTATTATTATGAGAGCCTTGTGCAGACACAGCAGAAGCCTCCACAGCCACATGTGAGAACACATGACTGAGGGCACTGTGCAATGGGCATGGGAATCAGGGGTCACTTTCCAGCAGGACTCTCCATTCTTCATCTCTGCCCTGGGAAGTTCAAGGGCTCATGAAGCCGCCTCCAACTTTCCAAAGTGTTCCTTGTTATTTATGGTTTCTGCCCTCGTGCTAAGCCTCTTCAAATAATTTGGAAATAATCCCCTTAATGCAAGGGCAGCGTTTGCCCATGACATCTCATTTACCAGGCAGTCCATCTTCCCAGAGAGGTGAAGCCTAGTTAAGTGTTTCTGAGGGACAGGGCAAGTGTCTGTATGTGTATGTGTGAAAATGGGATGGGACTCAGGAAAACAATTCTCCTTGAGTCTCTCAGCCCTCATTACAATTCCTCTTTTCAGTGCCAGCTCTGATTTATGGGCTGCCATTCAGAGGCTGTGAAGCCCTGCAGCCAGAGCTGACCAGCTGTCAGAGCAGGGCTTACAGAACAGGGAACATATTAACCTGTCTCTGTGCCTGCCCAGATCCCACAGCTGACACTGGAGCTGACAACGAGGGGCTGTGCCTGGCACATCACCCTGAGCATTGCTGGGGGCTATGACTGCTCAGAGGGGCACACACCCAGAACCAGGGGCAGAACTGGGACATAGCCACATCTTGTGCCCCAAGAGAGAGACTTCCTGGACTGTGGTCCCTACCCTCCTGCTTGCTTCCCATTTTTATTCTGGAATGGAGCAAAAAGCCACCAGTGGCATTTCTTCTCAGTTGTTCTGCTTCTAGCCCTCTCTGTCCCATGGAATGACCAGCTGTCTTCCAGTACTGGACAGGGTTCAGTTATCCTTTAGGAAGAGCAATCAAAAGGCACTTTCCAGCCCACTGGCTCCCAGCAGTGGGTAAATTCATCAGTTCAGGGACGAAGATGAGCACTCTTTGCGAGCCAGCATTTCAGAGCACAAGGCCTGCTGTTTGCTCCCCACAGCTCTGGGCTCCTAAAGTGTAAATCCAGCTTTTTAGGCAGCTGCAGCTCCCTGTGTGTACACCTGCACCTCAGCTCCTGGCAGGGCACCTCTCACCATGGGACTGATTGGACTCTGACTGGATTGGCAGCACGTGGCCAGGGACAGAGCTCTCAGGAGCAAAGAAAAGGCTTCCATGGAGACATATCCTGACCTCTGGGTTTCACTCTGAGCAAGGGGCTCCCTGCACAGAGCCTTGTCCTGATTGGAAGAGTTAAAAGCTCTGTGTAAAATGTTATGTCTCCCTTTCTCTATTATATAGAAATACTCTTCCTTTCTCTATTAATTAAGCTGCTGCCCATGTCCGGTTCATTAACTAATGCAGACCAATACACCCAGTGCTAGCTGGATAATCTGCTCTTGTTCAAATACATAAACAAAGTCACACTGAAAACAACCAGATCTGAAGACTCTCCCCTCTATCCAACAGTGACCAAATGTGTCTTAAGTGATGGACTCTAAAACCATCATCTGAGGGACCAAACATCTCCTGGACAATTTCCGGAATGTTCAAGCCAGGAGTGGGCAGCTTTCCACAGCCATAAATCATTGGCTTCTTCAATGGCTGTCAAGAAGAGACTAAAACACACCAGCCAAGCACAGCCTAGTAAAACTGAAGACATTTTTAACAGCAGAGTTTCCTAACCAGCAGCCTTACAATAGGAAGTAGGCCTGACCTCAAGCCAAATTCAACAAGGTCCCAGCTGTAAAGATTGCTTGTAATTTATTTTTTGTTTTACACTAAACGTTAATTGGTTTAAAACAAGAGTCCTCCAGGTCCCAAAGGCACTGCTAGAACAGAAATTCCTCATTCCCAGCTGAATGCCCTGAGCCCAGGGAAACAGTATGCTCTCTCCTCTGGCACAGCTTATTCCCCTGTGCACTCTGTCCTTCTAGACAACAAGCCTCATCCAGCCCAGCCAACCACTCAGGGCTGAGACACTCTCTGGGGAGGTGGAAGACATGGATTTGAATCATTCACATTTCCTTCACCTCCCAGACGCTTCCTCTGAGACTTTCTATGAGCCCTACATAATGTTAACAAGTGGGAAGCAGACATGCTGGAAGGTTTGAATCTGGATTCAAACAGCTCTCTCCAAAGCTCCTATCTTAAGGGGCTGAAATGCTGGCTTTTCTCTCCAAAGCTCCTGTCTTAAGGGGCTGAAACGCTGGCTTTTTTTCATCTGGCACCTCCCTCCCCTGCCTGCAAAATGAAACACAAATCTGAAAGTGAGAGCTCAGTCAGCTCCAGAGGTGCTGGACTCAGCAAAGGGGAACACACGGATCAGACACGCCTGTTACAAGAAGGCTCCCAGGCTCAGCACAGGTAGCTCCTGCTCTCCCTTTGCATGGGGTACAGCTGTTCCTCAGGCTCTGGGATACAGGCTGGCAGCTCCTACAGCCTCTGCTTGTATTCCCAGGCTTCTGCAAGGGCTTACTCACAGCAGCTGATCAACAGCAGTGAGCTGTTCTCCATTAGCTCCTGTCTCAGTTACATGACACAGGTCCCCTGACTCTCAAATATTCCCTGCTCTAAAGGCTGAGAGATTATTATGGAATAAAAAGCAACTTTACCCACAATAGATATTCTGCAGTAATGCTCTGCCAGAATCTTCATTCTGAAGATTCTCCTTATGCTGACAGGTCCCATTTTGCTGTGTGTCTCTGGATAACTGATTTTTACCTCCCTGCACTTCATCTACTGCCTTAGTGGTAACTCTGACCATAATTCCTTCTGAATCCCTGAGGAAAAGCTACATCTCTTAAATCCTTGTTGATGCAGTAGAGAGCACCTTCCGATTTCCCATCTCACAGCACACAGTGTCACCACAGTGTCACCAAAAAGCACAACACATAAAACCCTGCCTGTCCTTCTGACCTAGCCTACAAAAACTGCAGTGCTCCAGCAACTCCTCCTCAATCCCTGGAATCTTCCTCTCAAATCCCTGCAAGTTCCTTCAGGGTTAGCAAAGACAGGAAAAATCCACTGTGCCAGACATCCTCCCAGTTCACCAAGTCATTTGTACTCAGGATTTCCTGTGTTGCACATTCTTACATGAAGCTACGGCGCAAATGAATGGTCAAGGTAACAGAAACTTTCACCGAGCAGTTTTCATGGAACATAAAAGGCATTTACAGCCTGCTGCTGCTGAGGGCTTTGTGAAAGCAGGAGCTCAGAGAAATGACTGAAGTTAAATTTTCAAAGCCCACTTCACAGGTAAGAGAGGCTTTCAGAGCTCAGAGAACAAGGTCACTGAACTAACTATTTACAGAGAGTAACAAGGAGGGAACAAATGCCTTATTTGACCACCTGTGTTATTCTTCCACTCAACAAAACTCCACGTGGAAGGAAGGTCAGCAGAGCCATGGGCAGGGGTAAATGTGGCATCATAGTTAAAACAAGATACAAAGCAATGTCTCTTAGATCACCAAGATCAAGGCATAAGGCAAATCTCCCAGACCAAACCACCAGGAAAGATAAATAAAAGTAGCACTTCTGTGTCACAGGAATGTTGTAAAGTTTGTTGTTATCTAAACCACCAGCTTCTCAGATGGATGTTGTCAAAAACAAACATCCCATAGGAACACATTCTGTGAGCCACTACATTAATCTATGACCAAAAGCAAGAGCAGAATTCCCTCTACACTGGAAAAAAAATTCCCCTTTAGTGCAAACTCAGTTACTCTTCCCCAGTTTGCATCTAACTGCTCATATGCCATCGACCTCAGAAACAGATTTTCTTTTAAATAAATGGGCTGACTGCTTTTCAAACACACGTTCAGTGTTTCTGAGCAGAGCCAAATATAATAACAACATAAGACAAAAGACACCCTGTGCAGCCTTATGCCTCATTCTCCCTGCAGTACCAGGTTTAACTTCAATTTTCTGTAGCTGTAATCAACGCCAAAGGTGCCTCGCAGGCCACGCGTTGCTTGAGACTGACAGGCACAGGACCACCAGACAGGCAGCTCCCACTAAATTTAACTCCATTTGTGGCTACCTGCAGACTGACAGGATCTTTGTAAGTCTGGTCAGATTGCAACCCTCTCCTTCGTCTGAAGCTGAAAACGCACACGGTGTGTTAAAGCGAGATCTTCACCATAAAGGCACGTACAAACAAGTCACCATGGAGGGTACTAAATTTCAAATAAACACCTTCCTAGTTCCTCTGTCATCCACATATCTGTCCACATATGCATGTGCTTTGATCTCTGAGTAAATGAGATTTACTCTGTTCTCACCGAGGTATAAGCTACCTTGGACTACTTCACATATACCAAGGAATAGGATATGCAGCCACAGAGTCACCCCTGGGTACTGAATATGCTGTAGGTTCACAGCTGAACTTGTCCCCATGATAATTTATTCACTTGTGTGCAGTTGATGCATAAGCATGAACTACCTTGACATTAAAAACATTAAAAAAAATAAATAAATACAGTGAATACCACTGGACTAGTTGGATTAGGTGAGGTCAGCACTGTGTGTGCTAGCTGACTTTAAAAGCTTGCCTTCTGACTTTTCTTTTACTTTTTAATGTGTCTTTTTCACATTTTTAAAAATCTCATAGGTATTTTGCACTTGCTCATACAGACACACGTTATTCTGAGCTGTGACAAGACTTTAAAGTACATCAGCTACTGCATCTAAAAGAGAAATAGCCTGCCCTCACTGCCGTCTACTTGACATATGCCATTAGAAGGCTCACAATTTGTTTGTGAAAATGCAAACAGAAAATGGCCAGATATGACACATATTTATTAAGCTCCTCCCAGTGAAGCTGATTTCTCCTGCCACACTCCCTAATACAAGCTATCGGGCAGGACCTCACATTGCTTCAGCCTCAGCACATCGACTTACCAAAGAAACTGCCCCGTCCAATCCAAGTCAAACACTGATTTCAGCTGATGAAAGGAAGGAGCTGGGCTGGCCCCTGTCCACAGCACGTGCGCTGGCGACTCACACTTCCCCTTGGTGCTCAGCCAGCGCCTCAGCCTGCCTTAGCAGGAACCATCTGTGGGGATGAAAGAGCACCTCAACTTCCAAATTTACTTCCAGCCTTGAGAGCAGCCAGACTCCTCTCTCCTCCAGGAACCACTAAATAACACAGCACACGGCTTCCTGAACAGGCAGGCTCTGCCAGGGGCAATCCCTGTGTCCGTGTGCTCTGGGGTTTCTCGTTTTCGCTACACGTTGTCTGGAGCATTCTGATCACAGACCAGTTTTAATGGTGGATAATAAGGCAATTCCTATGAGAACACTTCTAAGGTGTTTGCATCCCGGTTGGTCACATACTGCTACACAGGTCTTAGTAATAGTAATGGTTATAATTAGCTCCTATACAGCACTTGCCTCTTTTTATAATTTTTCCTAAGATACGGAGATGTAGAGAGCTTTCACCTCATTTTAAGGACAGGGAAACTGAGGTATTGAAAGGGAGGTAATGATGAAATGTAAATGCCAGCAGTAACATGAGGCACAAAACCAGGTCTCCTCCATCCTAGCTGGGTGCTTCAGGCAACACAGCTGGGAAGCTCCATATCCCATTACCCATATACCGAGTCACCGAGTTCCCCCAGCAAGGATCTTATTTTTCATTATGGAGTGAAAAATAAAACAAGCCACAGGGCTCTAACTCCTCCTGCAAGCCAGAGACAACGCGGCCAGAAATTTCTGTGGCAAACGACACAGTGCAAATGCAGTGTGAGGAGAGTGGCAGCAGCCAGCCCGTGGAGGTGCTGGGCTGTGGTATCACTCATTACCGGGAGAGAGGGGCAGCGTTACCTCAGCTGTCAGAAAACAGGCTGGCTGCTGATTAATCCAAAACGCTGCTGTTGAGATGAGCGACCTCGTGGTCACCGGCGTCCTCAAACAAAATGTAAAGGCTCAAAAGGAAGGCATTACAAATATCTACCTTGAGTTCTCATCAGGTCTTGGGGACGGGCTCAGTAACGCTTAAGTCTATTATTCTGTGTGGCCATTGCCAGCAATATAAGAGATCTCTGAAATTCAACTTGTTAATACTAAGGATTAAAGCAGACAGGGTAACTGAATTTCATACCTTTTTTTTTTGTTGTTTTTGCCAGCATATGAGATCAAGGACTCAGCAGTCTTCTACAGAGGGAAATACCTGTGAACTCAAACATGCCTACTGTCCACCGCTCTCCACTACCTGTCAGTTCTAAAAATAAGGTTCAAGAAGCTCCTCAGCAAGCCCAAAGGAATAAAACTACAGACCCTGCTAAATAGCACCCAAGAAGGTAAGAAAGAGAACCCAGGTGGTTCTTGATTGTTTTTAAGCAAGATGAGAAGACACGGAGAAACCTTAAGAGAACCAGAGCAGAGTCAGAGCTGTTTGACCTGGGGTCACAGCCTCTTGATTTCATTATTTCAGCCTGAAAGCACCCCAGGAACTGCTCTGGCAAACCAGAACTGAGCCAGGCTCTGGGCATGTCTCCCCCTCCACAGCACCCCCAGACACTGCCCCTGCACCCCACACCTGCACAGCACTGTCTGTGTGCTTTACCCAGCCATCCCCAGTCACGGACAGCATGGCAAGGAGCACAGGGAGCTACAGTGGGACCAAACCAGCCTCTCTCCATCATGGCATGGCACCTTATCCTGACCAGGGCTGGCACTGAGGAACATCCCCATGGGGTACAGCCCTGGCTGCCCAGAGCCTCACCACACACTCACCTGGTCCCTCAGAGGTTGAGGGGCAGCTGCAGCAGCTTTATGGATGGCTGTGACCCTGCTCCCGCTGAGAGGCTCCTCTACCCTCACAGCCCTGAAGCCCCTTCCCAAAATGGCCACCCACGAACCGCCCACATGGCTGACCCACAAAATGGCCGCTGCCCCCCACAGCCGCCCCACAAAATGGCCGCCACCCCCCATGGCTGCCCCACACAGAGGCACAGACAGTCCCCGAGGCGCCATGCTTTATTCTGAGGGGTGGAGGGCACAGCAAGGGAGCTGGGGGAGACAAGGAAGACAAGGAGTGGGGAGGGCGTTTGCAGACTGGCAGGGCCAGGCTGGGCAGCACTAGCAGGAGGTGAAGGTTTTCCAGAAGAAGTTCTTGCAGGGCGCCTTGCGCTCCCGCTGCGAGAGCTGGGCGAGCCGGCCCAGCACCGCCCGCTCCTCCTCCAGCTTGCCCTCCTCCTCCAGGTCTGGGGCAGCTGCCTCATGCCCCATATCCACGCCGTCCAGCAGGCCTGCCAGCATCTTCAGGATGGCGTCCTTCCGCACTGTGCTCTGTTCCTGTGGGCAGAGAGCAGGGAAAGTGACGCACAGAGGGCCTGTCCCCCACAGCCATCGAGGTCCCTTTGTGTCCCCCTGCCATCCCTGGTGTCCTTCCCTTGGAGTCGATGCTTTTCCCTTCGGCAGAGCTGTGCCAGAGCTGAGGGATATGTGGCTGCTGAGGGCACTGCTCCTGTCTCCCCTCCCTGTCCAGCTCAGCCAGCTGGACTCTCACATGTGCCATGTTACAGCTGGAAAAGAGCTGCTAACAAATAGACTTGAATTGGCTGTGAAGTCCCTCGCTGCCCACACTAATTAAATTTCAGTGAATGCCAAGCTGCCTCTTCCCCTGGTCAGCCCGTGCTCCCTTCACTGCTCTGACTGCCTGGCATCCACCCTGGGAAGGTGAGGGAAAAGGCACACGGTCCTGGGAAGAGGCACAGAGTCCTGAGCAATATTAAATTAAGCTCACGGGGGGATGTACTCCGCTGTAAAATGAAATGCAACAAGGAGAAGGATGCCCCAAAATCTGCAGCAAAATATTGCATCAGTGGAGGCAGGCAGCTGTATTTCTAGAACAAGAACCTGTGTTTCCATAGCCTGACCCTGGGGGAAGGTGGGATGAAATGGGAGCCGCTGAGTTCCATCCCTTTGCTGTAGCAGAGCCTGTGTTTTGGGGTTTGAGGGATTTCTGCCAGTACAAGCTGTGAGTTGTCGTGTTTCTCTCAACTTTACATCCAGCAAATCTGAGGAATTATCTCGTGCCTGAACATTTCTGGTCTCTGTGGTTCCTTAGCAGGGACAGCTGGTACTGGCCAAACTGGGATAGATGGTTTGACAGGAACAGATCCTGTTTCCCATGTGGATGGGAATCTTGGAAGCACATTTCCATGTCAGTCCTCACAAATGCCATATTTACTGCTGGGACTGCTGTCTCTGTCAGCACCAGCATTCACTAAGGACCACTTGGTGAGCAACTCAAAAGATGGATAAATACAGGCAGTAGCAATTATCCTGAGTTTACATTACAGAAGGTTTATGGGCATTTTTTAATCACTTTCTTAGCTCTAGTAACAAGCCTTGTTTCTGCACAAGGGGAACCGAGGCACAGAAAAACTCCATGCTGTATTTGTGGCAGAAGAGAAGGTAAAGCCAGTTTGTGCTCATTCTGATTCCTTCTCCTGTGCTGCAAGTACAGAAGTGCCTTGAGCCTTTGGGAGATATACTGGGACGGGGGAACCCCTTAAGTGTATCTCCTGGGTCATGTCTTCCTTGGAAGCTTCTTTCCTAGCTGTAAGTGCTGTGTTTGGAAATAACCGAGCAGAGCCAGCGGCCTCAGACTGAGGGGTGGGGAAGGCAAAGCTCAGCCCATGTTAGGGGATATTCCTTCTGCCTGATCAGCTGTGGCTGTCGGTGAAACCTGGCAGCTCTTCCCTGCACTAATCCACTGCTCACATCCTTTCTGCCTGGAGCTGTGCTCAAAGAGATCCACACTCTCTGGGAGCAGTTTGACATCTCAGCACGGTGGGTTGGGGCAAACCCTTGGGGAGCTGCTCCATTCCCTGTGCTCCATCCATCAGTGCATCAGAGGGAACACATCTTCCTTTTGCATTGTAATGCATTTTATAGGGGCTTATATGTAAAATCCCGATGCTTTTCTTACTTAAAACATCTGTCTGAGTTACAGCAGTGGTGACTGCAGGGATTGGTTCATCAGTATCTAACAGTTTTTCAGTTTGTAGAATGCTCTATAATAGATATAATGATTCTCTTTAATTGTATCATTATTTTGTAAGCAACAGTGCGCAGAAGACTAGGAGTCATTACACTCAAATTAATTTTTACCAAAGCCTTATTTATCAATTTATTCCCTACAATTTGTTTCTTTTTTTCCCCAGCAGCTGGGATTTGCACCAGAATTTACTTCTTAAAAAAAGAGTTTACTTTTTAAGTGCTGGGTTCGTTACTATAAGAACGCGGAGCTGAAAGTTTCCAGTTATCCCCAGAAGGGTTAATCCCAGGCAGCTGCAGGAGCCCTGATCTGACAGAACTCCAGCCCCAGCACCTCACACTGTGCACGGTTCTTTCTTGCAGCCAGTTTCGTTGTTAATGGGATGTGAGCCCACTCCTGGAGCAGCGAGACACTGATGGATGAGCTGGAGCCAACACTGAGACAGAAAAAACGATGTGGACACGCACAAAGGAGAAGTTGGTGCCTGTGAAACCAACACTGGGATCCTTCCCTTCTCTGGAATAACAGCAGCCTTATGGATACAGCCTGAACTGGACTGATGACTAACCAGAGCTCAGAAGAACATCAGGGATGGCAGGGAACATGCAGGTGAGAGAACTGAGGGGCGAGGGCAAGAAAACAGGGCTTGTAATCACGTTATGCTATTGCTTCCTACCCCTTTGGCCTCTTAGGGAAACAGCATGGCAAAATAAAGTTATTATAGCGCTCCAGCCATTATAATATTAGGGTTTTGCCAGTTGGTAGGGTAATTATACTGCTATAATAAGTTCTGCCACTGCATAGAGCTGTGCTGGTTCAGAGTGTAATTATTCTAGCAGAACTATGTCAGTATAACTCCCCTTGTGAATACTACTCTGGAAAAAGCAATTTTATTCTGATATAATTACTTCATTTATGATTCCTCTGTTACTTTCCTACTGAACCCATCTTTTAAACATTTGTCCTTCCCATGAGTCCTATTTAAAATATCATCTCCCTTGATCATTTTACCAATTATGTATCTTTTCTCTCCCTCCCTAGTACTCTGCTTTATTCTCTCATGCTGTACCATTTCAGTAATATTTTCTCCTTTTCCCTCTGCTCTCTGCTGTTCATTTTGCCAGTTTTTGCTTAGCTCAGACTTCACTTTTGCAGCCCCTGGCATCTGGTACCTTTCTAAATCAGCTGGGTAGAGCTGTAGGAACAGCCCCAGGGTCAGCAGCATGTGAAGCTGTAGTGCCTTGGAATATAGATGGGTGGGAGAGTTGTTTGCATCAGGTAAAGCCTAACTGCCCTTATCCCCCCTCCCCTGGCTCTGTCCTCACCCAGCTCCTGCCCAGGGTGGCTTTTACTCACCCTGGTGCTCTGGATGGCCAGTCTCTCTTCCCCAGGCAGTGCCGTGGCTCTCACACTCCACACCAGCAGCAGCACGGACACCAGGCTGGCCACCAGCTGCATGATGCACAGGCTGGGACTGGTGCTGAATGAGGAAGACTCAGAGAGGGAGCTGCTCCTGGGCTCTCTTCTGCCTCAGACAATGGCTGCAGCCCCTTTTATAGCCCTCCCCCAGCCCAGTGGGTGACGCAAACAATTAAGTCTATATCAAAGGCAAATTAGACTTTGGAGAGGTTGTTAACACTTGGCTGCTTGAGTGGGATACTTCAGTGCCTCTGGGCTCTCCATGTGCCAGACCTGCAGAGATTGAGGAAGCAAAGGCTTGGGACACTCCAGTAACATGCTGTTTCTTCACTCCAAGAAATTGTAGGCACTCTCTGTGCCTCTCCTAGGTAGCTGGATTCTGTTTGGGAAATAATGTTGGGTAGAAGAGGCCACCAGCTTGCACAAACCTGGATGATTCAGAGGGAAGAGGTAAAACTTCTGGCCACCAGTGCTTAGATATGGTCTTGGACCCTCAGCTGGTGTGTCCAAACAGCTCCAGGCTTTCAGGGTGTTTGGATCTGGGTCTCTGCATCGAGCAATGCATCTCACTGTGGGATGCCAACACGCCTGGCTTTCCCTGTAGGGTAACATGGGGACAGAGCTGCAGCTGTGCAGTTATATCCTCTGTCTGGAAAATGCACATCAAACCACCTGGAAGCCTGCTGAGGGTTATGGGGTCTTGTTCCTAGTGTTGCTTCAATCCCTCTTGAACCTATCCCAGGAGTGTAGGTCAACACAGTGGAGATGCTGGGTTTAAATGTGGTAAAACCCAAGTACTGAAAGGCTGGTCAGAGCCGGAGCTGCTCTGCCCTGAGAGGCTTAAAAAGGCTCCTGCTCTGCTGGCACTGACCACAGGCTGCTTGGAGTGTGTTCCTACCACCCCTGGTCAGCAGTTAATAATGCCTCCTCCTTGCCCCAAAAGCTGTCCCAGCAGTGGGACTGGTCCCTGGGCCAGCAGAAAGTGCTGTTGAGCACTGCTGTCTGCATTGTCCCCATCACTTGCCTGTGACATGCCTGTGAGATGCAGAGCTGAGATCCCAGCTCACCACCAGCCCTTTCTCCAGGAGCACTCGCCTCAGGGCAAGTCTTCCCCTGACCTTAACAACAAATGACAATCAAAAGATAAATTGTTATCCTAATTTAGCACATTAAAAAAAAACAAACCACAGGGAGGTGACTTGGCCAGGGGATGCTGTGGCAGAATTAAGAACAGAAGGCAGGAAAACCTGTTCCCCATTTCTCGCTCTTACCAGCATTACAGATCCTGGAAACAGCATGATGGAACTTTGCCTGCAAATAATCCAGCTCCTAATGCCAGCTACACCAGCTCTTGAGGGAAAAGATGCCACCACTTCCATGCACACTGTAAAAGAAATGCTGATTCCCTCACTGAAAGGCAGAAAAACTCTTTCCTGAGTCACAGAGCCTTGTGGGGGATAAGTAACAATCTAGCAATTTCTGGAAACGAATTTTCTTGGAAAACTTTGTAACCTCCTTGTTTCTCACCCTCCCCAAGTGAGAGGTGGCTGCCACGCACCACTTCCAGATGAAACATTATCTGTTTCCTTTGAACCTGATCTGGCTGGTTTATCAGAATTGCCGGGTAATGGATTCTGTCAAACACTTCCCAGCCAGCCCGGGGCTGAGGCAGAGCAGGAGAGCTCCGGGCTCCAGCGAGCAGAGAAACCACAGGGACCTGCCAAATGACCCGCAGCCGATCTGCTCCAGGAGGGGTGAACTGGGGGAAGAGCAAATGGAGAAAACACACTTGGCTGCTCAAGGGGAAGGAAGGGCAGGTCCTGGGAGTGTGAGATGTGCTGGGGCTGACAGGTGAGCCCTGCACTGGGGCTGTGAGCAGGACTCACCCCGTGGGCCGTGCAGACAGCAGGGGCAGTGCGGGCGGGTCTCCATGCTGGGCCCATCTGCTCTGCCCACGCTGCTCGTTCCAATAAACACAGTTCTGTCTGCAGCTTCCCCTCGGAAGGGGCTGTTGTCTGTAATGCTCCACTGAGAGACTGGGGTCACAAGTGTGACGATGCTCCTACCAGAAAAGGAAGTGGTGAGTGAGAGATCAGCTGCTGGGGAGGCTCACAGGGATGTAAAGTGTGACCAGGCTGCCCTGAATCTGTCCTGGGGTTAAAGGGCAGTAACAAAATAACTGTTACCTCGTGAGCAGGGGTGACTTTGGAGAGAGCTCCTGCCCAGATACTCCAGCACCAAACCTGTGGCCCTGCTGACAAGCACAGCCCAGCCAAAACCTGTGTCTAGCCTGGGCAAGGCTGGGTGTCTGTTCCCAGCTGGGAGGGAGGGAACAGGGACACATCAAAGCACTTACACTCCAGTGCCCACAGTAGGACTGGATCTCTAAATCCAGACTAGTTTCCTCTGGGCTGTGCTACAGCATCTCTCGATATCAGACACCTCTTTTTCAGGTTGCTCCATCTTTTCTAGTGCCCTTCCCTTTCCTCTGCTGCTTCCCCTAGTTAGTCTGTCCTCTGGCCCCTTTGCAGACCCTGCACCTCCCCACCACAGGCTTAGCACCATCTCCTTCACCAAAGAAGTAAAATAACTCTGTGGTGGTAAAATTTGTTCTTTTAAGTAATTGGATAGAGTTCAACATACAGCACCAGGGTTGTTTGTACTTCCTACTGTTCCTATCCCATGTGCATTGGCTGTCTGACCTTTAAGAAGGCCCCAATTATTATTTTTTTTTTGCCAACCCTTAAAAGCTTATCACCCTGTACAGGAAAGGGTAAAGGTCTGCCCTTGGAACAATAAACACTTCTGATAATTCTTTCCTCTTACCACTTTCTCCCTGTTATCTGAAGTCGTGTTCCCTTTGGAAGTCGTGTTCCTTGATGCTTTCCTGCCCCCAGCTGCACATGGCCTGAGTGGGTTTCTGCCACTTCACAGTGAGGGTAGATCTGTCTGAAATCAGAATGCCTTTGAACACATCTCTGGGAGCCTGGCAGGGTGGGGATGCTCCAGAAGGAATTCCTGCATACAGTAACTTGAAAAGGCCTGGCTCTCCCAGGATTTTCTCCCACAGTCAGTGTGGCTCCAGCAGAGATGCACAGTGGGTTCAGAAGCACAGCAGAATATGTTTCCACAACCACACGAGACAACCTCCATCTTTTTGTGACTAAGGCTGCACAAACAACATGCACTGGGAGAGGTTTTATCATTCAAGAAAGAGGTCCCTGACCTCTCCTCAGTGAGTCTGTGCAGCAGCAAAGACTGGGCACTGCTGGAACACAAAAACTATGACTGTGTCTGACACCAAATGCCACACTAAGGAATGAGATTATTTCTCAGTTGCCCTCCTATATGGCCTGGATATTTGCTGCCTTCTGCCCGTTTGTTGCCTGGTCTGGGCTCAGGTCACCATGCCTTGAAGCACGTAGCAGAACCACATCAGGCTTCCTGCACGGTGTCTGGGTCCCAAAGGTGAGGCACTCAGCTGCAGCTGAAGGAAGGGTTCCAATGCCTTCCTGTCATTGCAGTCCTTGCTCTCTGCCCCCGAGAGTCCCTCGCTGCAAAGGCCAATGCAATAAATAAAGCAGTAGTCAGCTGACAGTTGTGAGCCTTCCTGGAAGGGGAAACCAATTTGTTCACGGGCCTGAAATCACAGCTCATTTCTCAGGCAGTGTTCCCTGGCACTGTGCTCCCCAGGGCCCCGGAGGAGCACGCAGGTGGCTGTTCCAGCCTTGGCTTTCCACTGGCACTAATCTAACAAACCCAGGGAAGAGATTGTGGGAGCGTGGGCTGGAGCCTCGTCCCTGCTCAGAGCTCAGAGCAGGTGCAGGAGGAGGAGGGGAGGGCCCAGGGATGCTGCTCTCACAGCACACAGGACTGCAAGGCTGTTCCAGCTCTCTGGGGAGCGGGAGCTGGGGGAGCTGTGCTGCCTCCTCTGTCTGCCGACCCCAGAGGGACTCAGGAGGTGAGGGGGGGCAAGCAAAACGCCCCAGTGGTGCTCAAAGCCTTTTGTAGAACCGAAAAAAGGGAAATTTAGGTTAGATATTCATTGGGAAGAAATTTTTCACTGTGAGGGTGGTGAGACACTGGAACAGGCTGCCCAGGGAAGTTGTGGGTGCCACAACCCCGGCAATGTTCAAAGCCATGTTGGATAAGGCCTTGAGCAATCTGGTCTAGTGGGAGGAGCCCCTGCCCATGGCAGGAGGGACTGGGACTGGTTGATCTTTAAGGTCCATTCCAACTCCTTAATATTCTATGATTTTATGATTTAACTGCATGTGAAGTTAAACATTAAACACCAAAATCTTCCTTAGAAAATAACTAATCACTATGAAACGCTATTTCAAAGTACCTGTTTTCCAGTGCAAACATGTTGCCTGGCTCCAGGCCGGAGTCATTTCAGGCCGTGAAGCCTGGGGTTACTACTGCTGACCTCTGCTACACCAGAGTTGTCCCTTTGGTGGCAGGATTGGCCGGACAAGACTTGGATAGAAACGTTCCTCTACCGTTTGGATCACCTGGGGGATTGCTTATGCACTGCACCTCGTGGGAGTTCCAAGAGCTCACCAGGGATGCTGACACATGGACCTGTGACATTGTCAGCACCACAGAAGGGACCACTGGGCTGGGAGAGCCTTGAACAGGAATTGCAGACAGGCTGGGGTTCTGGGTCCTGCTCTCCCCCGGCTGAAGGGGGTGAGACACACACAGGGTCATCACACACATCATCCTGCTCTTAACCCTGGCTCACAGAAGTAGCTTTGTTAAGTCAATCCTCGCTGGACATGCCCAGCCCTGGGCTGCTGCAGCAGCCCTTCAGTACCAAGCAGAGGCAGCCCCTCCTGCAGGGTACCTGTGGGGTCCCTGCTCCAGCACCCTCGGCACTTCAAGCCCCATCAGCCAGGAGCTGGTGTCCTTGAAAGGCCTGCACTGACATCCCCAACATCTGCAATAATCCACCCATCTTTATGTGCCTCACACCTCACTGTGCTGTAACTGTGATTCCCTGGCTACGATTCCCCAGCTTTTGCATATTTGAAAAGCACTTAACTCCATCCCGTACGTGACTAGGAAAGAGCATCCCCCAGACTTCTCAGTATTTGACTTGGT